AGGTGATTGATGACTTGTCCGCGATAGCACAAGCATTGCTACAGCCGCGTCACTGGGGGAATGGCGATTTTTTAAGGTTGTTCGCAAGTGATGGCTGCTGTTGAGCAATTACAATAGCTTCTGCGACGTAAGTCACTTCTGCGATTTTGTATGCCTATTAGAACGATATGGGACTGATAAGTGATATACCGGCGTCATTTCCGCTTTTAGAGTGGTCTTTGATAAAACAACTGATTCATACTTGCAATACATATATTTTATCAAAAAAAGTTTTGCTTTTTTAATTGTAAGACTAATCTTTCAGCGTCATTGCATCCCCAAGCTGACAAAGAAACTTGCAACCTGGGCCCCGAATATCACAACTGCGAATAAACTCATTATGCGAGGCGAGCACGTTTCGCCCTTAGAATATGATATGGGCAGCTCACATTTGATAATCCCGCGCGGTAAGGTATTCAACAATTCATAGCGGGACGCCGACGCCTTGTCGTGCATGTAAGAATGAGATAGCAGGGCACAGCGACTCTATCTTCTACCCCGCATGTGCACTGGGGGAGTCATGGGTGCGTCCTCGTCCTCATCATCTTCTCGCTCCTCGCCCTCCTCGCTGGCTCTCTGGAGGAGCTCGGCCAGCATCTGAGCGTCCTCCGCTCCCTGGGTGTCCACATTAGGGCCCAGCACTGTCTCGGCCTTCTGCTCCTGCTTTTCCCTGTCGGCCAGTTTGCCCTCGGCGTTGGCCAGCTTCAGCTCTGCCACGTTCAGCCGGTGCGTCAGCTCACTGATGTCGTCATTGGCCTCTGCCAGCTGGCTGTGCAGCTCCTGCACGGTGAGCTCGCGCTCGCTAAGCCGCTGCTCCAGCTGCTGCAGCTGCTGCACGTGCAGTTGAAGCGCCGTGGTACGCTCGCGCTCCAGGTCGGTGGAGATCACCAGCTGGCCAGTGTCCGATGCGAGCATCTCGCGCGCAAATAGCTCGATCATGAAGTCTGGAAATGTGATTTTGTGCAGGTGACCGCTGTATTCTGTCTGCGAGCCGCGCTCGGCGGTGGGCTCCTCCATGGGATTCGTTGCGGCGTCAGCGGTGGTAACCGCCGGCGCCTCTTCCTCCTGTTCGGGCACGGCCTTCACCGCGATGTGCTGCGTCCGCCGTCGTGGAGAGCCCCGTTTGCGGGAGCCAGACCTGCCAGATAATGGCGGTGAGGGCGTGATGCTGTTGCGGTGTCTAGGCGTGGCTCCGGGCGCTGCTGTTCCCTGGCGTTTGAACGAGATGCTGCTAGTGCTGTCACCCAGCCCGGACTTGGATTCTCCGCCGCGAGAAGTGATGCGGGAACGGGAACGTTTTCCTCCGCTGGTCAAACTGATATTGCTTCCGGTGGACTTCTTTTTTGATCCTGTGGATATGTTGGAGGCTTTCCTGCGAACTGACTTTTTTCCTTCGGAGTCCGTGACATCAAGTTTGCTTGGTGTTTCGTCCTGCTCGGGGGCTTTTTCGGATGCTGTCGCTTCCTCTTCCGAGGCTATGGGTACCAACAGACTCGGCCTGCCACTGCCGGCTGCTGCTTTTCGCTCGCCCCAATCTCCGGGGAACTTCGGCGTTATCATCACCTCCGAGTCCTCAATCACCGAGGATTGTCTTCTGCTGCCCGCTGTTTGTTGCTGCGCCACTCCGATGGCGGCCTGGGGGCCCACCGCCTCGCTGGTCCGCCTGCTCCTCCATGAGCTCCAGGAGGGCTCATCCGTGCTGACGGCCCGGTCCACCATCAGCTGGACGTTCTCCGTGTTAACGCCGCGCGACCGCGCCGTCACGTCCGGCTGAAACATCTCGCCGCTGCGCAGCTTTGTCATGCAGGTGTCTGACAGCTCAGCCCACGTCTGCGCCTCGGTGCGGAACATGTCCGAGAGGGTGGCCGGATCGATGCCAACGTCGCCGTACGTCCTGCCGCCTTGCTCCTGCACCAGCTGCCACGACTGGTCTAGCGTCTCGGTGGCCAGCGCCAGTCGGCCCTTGATCTTCTGTTGGGTGGATCCGAGGTCGGCTACGCTGGTCGCCGTCGACTCGATGAGGCTGCGTGCCGGGCCCGGTATGCTTGGGTGATAGGGCGCCGCTAGCAGCAGACACTCGGCCGTCCACTGAGTGATGCAGTCCTGCATGTCAGTCAGGTCCAGCTTGGTGTCGTTCATGGTGCTGGCCAAACAGTCGACCACCGTGTTGCGATACTGATCCACCTTCTCGTTGAGTTTTTCTCGCACCACTGTATAGTTGGTACGGCGGCCGTTCCACATAAGTGAGCCGTTGACGTCGTTTGAGCGCTGCAGACTCATAGACCACTTGGCCAGCTCGGTCTGCAGTCGGCCGAGGTCACCTGTACGCAGGTTCCGCTTGGCCCACATGCGAACGTCCACCTCAACTTTATGGATGGTGGGGTCAATACCCTGGTAAAAGGCCTCGTCCAGCAGGGGTTGCGCGACCTTCATCATGTTGTTGAGCTCGTCGGAGGACTTGCCAACCTTTTTGCGGAAGTCATCGTCTCTGATCGGCAGCAGGATGTGGGATTCGGTCTGGAATAGCCACGATTGACGCACTATCTCCAACCTTCCGAGGTTCTTCTCCACCTTGGAGCTACCCTCCAGACCGTCCTCCACCTGGCCGAGCTCGACGGTGAACTGGGACGTCCACTGGACTAGCGCCTTGTGCAGCGTCACCGACTTGCCGCCCTCGAAAGGCGTCACCAGAAACTCAGCGGGGTCAGGGCTCACCGCCGACTTCAGCTGGCTGGCCACCGTCTCCAGACTGCGCCACATCTTGTTGGCGAAGTTGAACACGCGCTGTTCACGATTGTTCATAAAGAAGATGATGTCCTCAACTTTGCCAAGCCAGTCCCTGAGGTAGGAGAAGTTCAGCTCGGTCTGTTCGTTGTCTTTGGTTTCTCGCTCCTCCATAATCTTGTGTGCCATTTGCACCCACGTGTCCAGGGATGTGGCCAGGAATCGGAACAGCCCTAGCTTGTAAACATTGACCACCTTTGAGATCAAAGAGCAGGCTGCGTTCTTCCAGAACTCGCGCTGCCGTGCGTACGAACATGTCTCCTGCTCCTGGCGATGTTTCTGCATCTTGTAGAGCTCGTGGAGCTGGTCAGAGATGCGACTGGTGCTCTGAGCTTCGATGAGCGCGTGCTTGAGCTCCTCCTGTGCAGTGCACATGCGGCCTTTGGTCTGCTGATACACATGGTGCACATTGTCGAGCCCGAGCACCACCTGCACCAGTCGGATCTTGAAGTGGAGTAGTTCCTCCATGAGCCGCCGGTCCAGCGATCGTTGCACGATGTTCTCTTCGTGCAGTGACATCACGATGCGCGGTATGCGGCTCAACAGTCGGGCGTAGAAGTCGCGCAGCTCCGAGAGGATCTCTCCACGCTCGCTGCAGTCGAGCGTCACCTGACGGATGATCTCGTGGAAAACAATGTTGTACACATCCTGCTCGGCGCGCACCAGCTCTATAAGCCGCTCGATCTCCGAGTCTGTGCGCTTCTCCAGCACCACCTCGGACAGGCTCTCGCCCATGCCGGCCTCCTGCAGCAGCCGACGGAACACGTCACGGAGCCGGAGGACCTCCTCGCGCGTCACTGGTGTTCGACTCGGCACGCGAGTCCGGTGTGCTCCGTGATCCTGGCTCTGTACAGTGTACTCGTCCTGGATGAGAGACAGGTCTCCCTTGTGCTGGTAGCGCTTTACATGCAGCTCCTCCGGGATCAGTGTGGCAATGTTCTTGGCCGGATTTCTCGGTTTCTGCAGGTCAGGATGGAAGTCGCGCGACTCAATGCTGGCAGCGAATTCTTTGTTGTTGACGTTCTCCAGGAAGAAGGTGAAGCCGTCGCCCACGCCACAGCGACATGTCGTCCGTTCTGTCTGGTGTTTTAGCTCGTCTCCCTTCGAGAAGCTCCAGACGTTTGGAACGCGCTGCTGGCATTTCGACTTGAGGGACTTTTTGTCCTTTGAGTAGGTCCGCACAAAGTCGGCTGGTAAACTCTGCCAGTCTTGCGCTCTTTTCAGAATCTCTTCCTTGTTTGGAATGGCATCCTCGGGAAATTCATCATCAGACTCGTCGCAATCCAGCATGGCGCGCAAATCTTCTTCGATTGAACTCGATTTTCGGCTCAGTAGGGACATCGTCGTAGCTTCAGTACTCACAGTGTGGGATTCGACATATCACAGATGATAAAATAACAACCGGTACCTATGTGTTAACTGATATGGCTTTACTGGTATAACCGGTTTGATTATGATGTAGCAGCAGCCTTGACCCTTTGTTTGAAGCAAATTTACGGTTGAGACTATTTTGTAATGTTGCAAGAATACTTCAAAATAGTATACGAAACCCCTAACGAGGTATATCGGGCGGAGTTCTCTTAGCGAACAGGCCTGTTCTTTTTCTCTCTGCATCAACGCAACCAAGAACGCAACCAAGAACGCAACGAACGCAACGATCAACGATGTGCAAAGGCATGGCTCATAGCGATTTGATTTTTATTTATCCACACGTGACATAGTCATTGATGATTCTAGTTGTTTGCTCGACACCGTGATGATATGAGAAATGGCAGTTTGGTGATGCGACTTAGCGATATATGAGACTGAGATCGTTGCATAACCACTCCTATTTACAACAAGATGCCGACCATGCCGTGGTAGATTCGACAAGGCAAGGTCCAGCAACCTGGAAGAACCGCCATGAAGCGAATAAATGTTTCACCGCCTGTGGCCATACGCTATTCGGGTGGCAATTAAAGGCTGTGCGGCAGTTAAAACACCCGACATTTCTTTTCCCTCGTAAAATGCATGCAGGTGCCTACACTCCCTTGGGCCCCATCTATCAATACCTATCGATTTTTATTTCGTGTTATAGGTAGGTATCTCGACTACATGCCAGGCGATGCCGCTAAAGTGACAAAATGCAACGCATGGTTGCATTTTGTCAAAATGCATGGTCATTCTTCGTGTGAAGGACAATTAACTTCGTCTGTTCAGAGCCATCCAGTCGATAAATCGTTTCACCTAGGCACTTGGTACTGGTAAAACATGTCGAATATTTTTGTTTTTCACACCAATGTGAAACTCATTGGATGCGCTTGTCACCAATGATCTTTGGGCCGTAGTACTCCATTGCTAGACACGATATGCCTAGCTGACCTTCCATGCACAATAGTGACTCTCGCACGACAGTAGGTATACCCGTGGTCTATTCATTGTCCCAGGTGGCCCTCCCCTACCCGTTGGTACCCTCTCCGCTCAGCGCCGGCCGAGGAGCTGCACCCAGCGCGAGGGGTACACGCGGCCCCTGCCGGTGCCCGGCTCCGCAGCGGCGCCAGCCTCAGCCGGACACTGGAAGTCGGCCTCCTTGAGCGGGATGCCGGTGGGTCCGCCGCTGAGGGCGCACAGCGCGCCGAGCAGGTGCCAGCAGCCGGCCGGGTTGCCCCAGCGGCCGAGGAAGCTCAGCCACTGGGGCGGCCGTCGGTGCAGCAGCTCCAGTTGCTGCCACGTCTTCCACGGCGTGCCGGCGGCCGTGACGTCGGACAGGTGCGCCAGCCGGCTGTAGACGTGTGTCCCGGCCGAGGGCCACAGGCCGTGAGAGCCGCGGGCCACGTACAGCACCGGGTGCGTTCGGAACACCTGCAGCTGAGGGAGGGAACATGGACTGTCAGTGGACTGGTGACCACTCACAGCTCTGGGTGATTGCTGCAGCTGAGGAAGGAAGACAGACATCCGTGGCGTCATATGCTCGGTTGGAACCGAGTAACGTTGGCTCAGCTCTGAAGTGGGATAAAACTGTTCGACCTGAAACTATTCAAATCACCAGACACCATACTGCTAGAGCTCTCTTACCTTCCTCATTTTGAACACTAATATGAACGTTATGCATCTTCGCGAATTTCCATGAATAAAACAAATGAATAAATAAATAACACTGAACAATGCAAAGCAAGCAAAACGTATGGAACTCACCGTGGGTGGGTACTGCGGGCTGACGGGGAAGCCGCCCCTGTTGACCTGCGACGCAAACTGATACAGGTTGGTGGCCCTGTTGTAGTTGTAGTAGGCTCCGAACTCGTGAGCCGAGATGTAGAGCGAGACCGGCTCCCCGTACTGTTGGCGAGACAGGCGCGTTAGCGGACGGTCGGTTGGTATGCGGCAACGGCAACGCTCGACAAGCATATGACTGATCAGTGAACACTGGCGATATTGGGAACAATTCTTACATGAAAATCGCCCATCAATGGAATTTTACATCTAATATCGTTCGAATTTTCATCAACTCGGAATCGGTGGAATATTTATATGCTTCTAAACTTTTCCAGAGGGTCTACGATCTCCTTCACCTCCTTTACGTCGATCCCAACTTCTCGTCCCATCCTTCCCCCTCTACCTATCTCACTTCCCCCTCTACCTCTGGCGTATTCCTCACCTGCACCTGAAGACTGACATGTTCCCAGTCGCCAACATGACTCCCCCGCAGCCGGCCGGCGGCCTTCTTTCCCTCGCTGAACGGATGAAACATCCAGTAGGTGGCCGTGAATGATGGCAGAAGATCGGCGGTCGGTTGACCGGTGTCACACCGGGACACCGTTACGTAGACGGGTACCGGGCGGGTGGCCGGACTGGTGCCGCGCAGGTGCGGCGGGGGACGCACCTGTTCCGTGCCCAGACCTGCCAGACGGGACAAAGAGGGGGAGGTGAGGGTGACTGGAGGGTGGAGGCGGACCTGCTCGGTGTCCAGGCCTGTCGCACGGGACGGGGAGTTGCGGCTTATTGGAGAAGATACCCAGCTGAGCTTTTAGGGCTACGCTGTTATTAACTGCGGTATATAACTTTGAGATACATTTTCAGTCGCACGATTGATGATTCACAATTCTCATATCTTCTCATTTCTCATATCTATCTCATATCGTGAAATGCCCCCATGAAATCAAAAATTTATGGGATACCCCATTGACTTTCATTCTACAGGAGGCTCTCCGACGTGATCTTCATGACGCTGCGTGTGGGTGGGCTCCCCCATCAGTGCTGACTTACAGGCTACAGCCACGGCCTTTGGTTGGTACTGGCCACGGCGCTGCCACATCCACTGACCTGGCGGCAGGCTGGTGACGAGATGTGTGTCCAGACTGCGGCTGCCCACCGGCAGGCTGGCGTCCACCACCGGCCGGCGCTGGCCCGAGCCGTCCTGCACGTGCACGTGAGAGATGAACTCGAGCACGTCGCCGGGAAACCACCGCTCGTCCGGGTGCAGGAACAGCAACGGCGCGTGCTTGGCGACCAGCTGGTCCACCAGCGCGTCGCCTGTCGAGTGAGCGGGAATTGCGGTGGTGTCATTTGCAAGAGGCGAGAGAATGCACAGTGATTACACTGTTGATGAGTCCCTAAATCCCGAGTAATTTGCATGAAAACGTGACCCATGTGTGAGGCAACCGTAGCGGAGGAATCGATAAACAATGATATGCGGCCGCCAGCCGGTTGAGACTAAAGGCAGAGATTGGAGGCAATTCTGCTGTTACTGGCGAGTGGCGTGTTGTGGCATGGCCATGCACAATGTGCAAAATGCATGACAGTTGCCTCAATTGCAAAGCAGTTACGACGCACCTGCTAACAGTTTTGTGCCTGTGACATGTCTTGAAGCTGCTTCTACCTAAAGGCATCGGTCGCTTACGGGCATTGTTTCACCTCTGCTAGAAAAGCCAGCCTATCCTATAAGCACTTCCACTTTGGGCCGATTTTTCATCACCACCTTCTAATCTAACGCCTTCGATACAGTCAGGTTCGATACAGGTTTTTGGTCCTCCGCGTCTCTCCCCTAATACGGCCACTATAACGAGCGGCGGAGAAAGGCTCGCCATCTCACCATCTCTCGACACTTGGTTTGTTTGTTCGTCGGGACCGGGCGAACCACAGACAGCTAGTGACCTGAGGCAAAGGGCTGACCCACATACTCCCGAGAGCTGGGCGCGCACAAACACTGATCCCTCTGAGAGGGATTGATGGCGAGGTTACGCCCGTCTGGAGCCTGCGGGGTGGGACGATCGCTGTTAGCAATCAGTCAACACATTACCTGAAACCTGTTCCGCTCCACTGTGCACGGTCGTTAGCAGGTGCAATAGCGGCGTCAGGAGCAGCAGCGGCGTGCGCGGCCCGGCCCGCGGCTGGCGTAACTCGGCCATGGCGTCACGGTCGGCCCGGAGGCTGAAAGTAAGCGCACTCGGTGTCAGCTGCGCACGCGCCACGGCCCGGCCACATCGGCGAGCATCGGCTCCGTGACGCAACGTCGGGCCTTGTGCGGCGCCGGCGCCGTCTCAGCGGCCGGCGGGGTGTCGCCAGTCGGTCTGCCGCTACCCCGGGTTGTCAGCGGCGGTCCCGATAACGCGAAGCCAACTCACGGCGGGGGCTGAGCGGGTCACGGCTCAACTGAGGTCATCCATTCATCATGCGCCCCCCCCCCCCCAAAAAAAAAACAGTTACAATAATAAGCCGTCAAAACGATCATATCTGTTCTCTGACGATAATATTTCCCTTTCGCATGCGATAGGACCCCCAAGCTCTTTCACAATGCGCCCTTCTTACACCAGGTTCATAGTTCGCACAACACCAACGATTTCCGCGCCTGTGTTGCCAAATATGACAAACATTACAGACATGACAAGCATTAAAAGGAAGGCGATATGATTTAGCGTTCCCGTTGGCGGCGCAGAAGTTACGAATACGTAGCTTATCAGCCAGCAGTAGCAATCTCCGCGGCCATCACGGCCGCCGTCCCTCGAACGTGTCCCTCCGTGACACAAGTCACTACCGTAAATCACATTTCAACACTTCTTGATTATTGGTACCTAGATATGCAAATTGTGCTACCACGCAATTCGTGCATTTCATGAAATGCGTCCCGCTATAAATCTACACTAGAGTGCATTTTTGCGCACTTCCAAAGTGTTCCAAACTGCCTTGAGCAAACCTCCGTGCTGTGCATACAGTTGGCATTTCGTGAAAGGGAAACGAATTTGACCGGTATCGTGACTTTGACGGTGCACTTTTTCCCTACCAGTGAGAGATATCATTGATCATTTGGATTTACCTGATTCCAGATGATACGTAGATCCCATAGGTAGATGCGGATGTTGTTCATCAAAGGAATACCTACACTACACGTAGGTATGTGAGGTCCGCGTCATTGGGCCCAAAGGAACGTGAGCGTGAACTCGAAAGGCTCAAAGGAACCCTCAGAAACCTACGTGGCACCCCTCAAAGGTCCACACTGACCCATCTGAGGCCGCGGCGTGAGCTGTTGGGCTCAGGTGCCGGTGTGGGGCCATCAAGGATAACGTAAGACCCTCTACATCGGCGTGTGGCGCTCAAGGATGTTAAAAAAACCTTTGTGGGGCCCCTCGGAAGCCGACTTTGGTTTATCTGGTGTCAGCGTCGGGACCCTGAGATTCCAACGTAGGTCCGTCGGAAATGACGTGTGGCAGGTGACAGGTCCTGTATGGGATCCTCAAAAATCGGCATGGGCTCTCGGAGGTCAGCATGATGCCCAGACGAGCCTCCGTATCTCTCTTCATCTCTTTCACGGGGGCCACTTATGCACTCGCATATTCATCGGCAGAAGGAATTCATACTTGTGTAGAAACGACTACAAGGGTTAGTTACTTGATACTTCATTCCGGGCATTCCTAATAAGGCACTGCAATATCAACACAGCACGCAATCATGTCTCTTGATTGCTTCTGCTAAACATAAATGATTTGCAGAGACTTAACTCTATACGACATATTCTCTGAACAAATAACGGATTTACGCTGCATGACATTATCGACCGCAATCGCTTGGTGCCGCAACTATACGCCCGGCCGCCCCCCGTTCTCGGCGTTCATGCATTGATGCAAGGCGTTGCTCCACTCACCTGTGCCGAGGCGGTCCGAGCCCGCCGGACGAGCGGACGACCGATCAGCTGAGAGGCAACGGCAAGGTCGTCTGGGGGCCGCGGCTGCCGCGTGCTGTACAGACCCGCCGGGTGGGACACGCGACTCGACACTCGACAGGCCCGCTCTGGCCCGAGGTGACCTGCAGTTCCGTCTTTCGCAGCCGTCGTGACGTTGGGTATGACTGTCTATTCACAATTCCCTCCTCTGTCGGGTGAACTTCACACCTCGAATCTGAGCCCACTTTTTCAGAGTTTGCCGCCTTATGCTCAGTCTCGCCAGTGTCCACCGCCGACAGCTCAGTCCTCCCACTCTCGCAGACAGTCTATCAGTAGCGTTACTCGACTATTTAATGTCACCTTGTTCGTCTTCCTCACGCCTGAGTCGCTCAGTCCTCCCAACCGCCAGTGGTCTCTCCGTCACACTGTTGTCAACTTCCCTTGCACTTGCCGTCCTTTTATGCGCGTCTTTTCTCCGTCTCTCCTGGCTCCCTGCCGTCCGATCACCGACTGGCGATGGTGTCCTCTCCGCGCCCGTCGTCACCACCGTCTGGGACAGGATCAGCCGCTCCAGTGGCCGCCGACCCAGCGCGGCGCGACCCTGGGCCCGTGGCGACCGTCCCCGTCCGCCCCAGCTCACACGAGGTCACGGACTGACCGCCGCCGCCACCTCGACCGCGGAGACCAGGAGCCGTCATCTCACCGCCATGCCTTTCACAATGTGCCGCGGTGCCGCGCCGTGCACCACGTGTCGCCGGGACTCACCCGCAAGGCTTCAGTGCACGTGCAAGGACTGTGGGGGTCGGGAGATACCAATGTAGTCATCCAGGCAGCGCGCTGTGGCAACGTCCAAATGAAGTTGCGAATATTGTGTCAAAGTGAGTTGCATGCATCCTTTTCGGGCATTTTTTTGTAATTATTTTGTCAACATTATATCTTTTCCAAACAACTCCTCATAGCATAATTTTTTTTTACATAAAATAATTTTGATTTTTGATGCACGGCTTCAAGAGACTTCAGGGCCTTGGAACCTTGGAGCCTTAGAGGCAAATAGAGTGTCAAATCCATTTGCATTTCAAAATCGAGAATAACTTGACCATTGGTGACCTGTGATAGCCTGACTTTCAACTTAGATCAAATTGACTAGTTTAGGGTGCGATTTATTTGGTTTTGTAGCGTTTAATTGTTTCCTATTTTTCAGCTCGTCCCTTGTGGGGTATGTAACTGTTATGAACCGGTGGCTAAAGTATTTGACCGAAACAATCCGAGACAAAGGCAATTGAAGCTCATACAGAAGAGAAAATGCAATGGGGGAGGATGAAGCTGTACTTGAAGTGTTCCTAGTGGAAGGGAAATATTTCACACTATATCAGTGTTCAGTAAACCTGATCAAATTCGATCTTTTTACCAAGTATTAAGAAAGCAATTGACATCAAGCTCTTGACGATGCGTTAAGTATAGTCTTCTTTTTTTGCCGACCATATGGTGTCGATTCGCCTTTTCTTTGGACGAGGACTCAAACAAAATGTCAAAGAAGTGCGCTGTCATCATTATGTGAGATTTGTAAGTTTGCCAACAACAAGTCCCGTGGAAGTTCAAACGCCTCCTTAACAAATACAAAATGCTCGATGCAGTTTACCTTGAAATTGCCCATTGTTTTGACGCTCTGGGGCCTTGTCGCTGCAGTTTGCAATAAAATGTTTGTCTTGCGTAAATTAAACCGCGAATGAAATGAAAACTCTGCTTGTTGCAATGATTCTATCTTATATTGCAGATTTGCTTACCTTTACCTACATATAGCTATAAGCTTTTGCCCTTTATTAGCCAGTCTAAATAAGATCAAGGCTGTTCTTGCACCATAACATTGGCTAATTTTTTTTACAAAGGTCGGTAAGTACTTTTTCTGTGACTGATCACTTGTCCGACATATTGAACGTAGCTGAGCTCTCGGCCGTTGTGACATACAAATAGAAAAATAAAAAGAATTTCGTGAAATAAAGTTAATCCACCTGAGCACCGAGTGAAGCAACCCTAAATCAACTGGACCATCTTAATCTGACTGGTCAGAGATACCTCTGAGGCGCTCGGTGGACAGTGTCAGTCGGGCAAGGTCGCCGTGCGGTCCGACGAGTCTGTAAGTCGGCCGGTGACCAGCTGTTGTGACTGTCAGTCGCCTGCTTATGATGGTCAGCTGTAGAGTTGTTACTGCTGTCGCAAATTCGTATTTATTGCTTTTTGGTTATTTTGGTTTCGCTTAGAGTTCACCAACTTGCGGGGAAGACGAGACCAGACACCCGAAAATAAAGTTGCACTGAAAAATCGTCTATGTACACATTGATATTATTGTCGGTATCGCTTTTCATTAACCCGCGCCCCGCTGGGGGGGGGGGCAGAATCTGCCCCCCCTCCCGTTTTTCGCCAATAACTTCTAAACGCGTTACGCCAGCGACGTCAAACTTTCAGTACCTTATCATATATCAATTTGACACGTTCCCTGAAAATTTGAGCGAAATCCGTCGGAAAATTTTTGAGAAATTGACGTTTTAGTGACGTCATGTTCGCCATTTTCGCCTAAAAAACGGCAAAATTTCCAACGCCGCTAACTTCTTCATTTTTAAAGGAATCAAGACGTAACAAAAAAGTTTATACGTGATTCTACTTTGTCTATCATATGGCTATCTCGGTTTTTTGAAAATTTTGGATTTTGGCCAAAATTTTTCCAAAAAACTGACTTTTTTGGGAAAGTATTTATAAAATCCAAAATTTTGAGTTTATCGAAAAAACCGGAATATATGTCAAAGAAGTGGTATATGTGCACCTACATACCAATTTTTAGAAGAATCGGTTCAAAAATGTGGGAGTTATTCAAAATTTTATGACGTCACGACACACAAAAATTTTGAAAAATGATTTTTTTGGAAGTTCTAGACCTCGTACGAAAATAAAAATAGCACCATTCGATTCGCCGTGAAAAACTGCATCGAATAGACACCTTTTTAGGCCTTAACAACCAACTTCAAAATTTGACCTCACTTGACCTGACCTTGACCTGACCTCGACCTGAAATTCATCCAGAGGTGGTCCATATCACTTATTGAGTGTGCCTATTCAATTCCATGAGTAAAATGACCCATAAAACATGTGTCGCACATGCCCTTTTCTATATTTTGTTTTTGGTGACCTGACCTGACCTGACCTGACCTTGACCTTGACCTTTGAATGACATTGTGTGCAACGAATATTGTCTTGGTAGTCTAAGAACACGTTTTGGGCAATCAGTCTCAGTCCATTCTTCGGCAACTACGGTGCAAGGCCAATACTGTAGAAACTTGCATTTTGTACCCTTGACCTGACCTTGACCTGACCTCTGACCTACTTAAGCAAAAAAATTTGGGCTCTTAAGATCCGCCTTGTTGAGAGCTTTCGATTGCCGTTTTCCCCGTCTTTCTACGACCATCGGTTCGGAAGTTAGACAGGGGGGGCAGAATCTGCCCCCCCCAGCAGGGCGCGTATGGCTGAATAGCCCAGCGGGGCGCGGGTTAAAGTATAACCAAATATAAAGTTTATTTCATATTAGGGCGGTAACCTTCTGTCTTTTCATTTATCGGATCAATGTGTGATATAGCCGGTACCCATGCCGGTGCCTTCCGCAATCATGCGCAGGCCCGGCGCCTAACGGTGCATTTTCCTGTAGTTCGTTGCAGTCTCCAAGCCTTTGGTGCTACTGTGGAGTGTACGATTGCAGTCTCCAAGCCTGTGGTGCTACTGCAGTGTGTACTATTGCAGTCTTCAGGTATGTGTGGTGTTACTTATTTGTGTACTGTTGCAGTCTCCAAGCCTGTGGTGCTACTGCAGTGTGTACTAATGCAGTCTTCAGGTATGTGTGGTGTTACTTATTTGTGTACTGTTGCAGTATCCAAGCCTGTGGTGCTACTGCAGTGTGTACTATTGCAGTCTCCAAGCTTTTGGTGCTTTTGTTGTGTACACTATTGCAGTCTCCATGCTTGTGCTACTCACGGTGTGCTACTGTTGTGTGTATTATTGCAGTCTCTAAGCTTGTGGTGCTACTGCAGTGTGAAGTGTTGCAGTCTCCAAGCTTGCCGTGCTATTGTTGTGTGCTGACATGCAGTCTCCATACTTTAGTGCGTAGTGTGTACTTTTGCAGTCCCCGTCTTGCGGTGCTACTGTAGTGTGTGTACTTTTGCAGTTTCGAAGCCTGTAGTGCTTCTGTGGTAAGTGCTATCGCAGCCTCCAAGCGCAAGCCTGCATTGCTACTACTTTGTTGTGTACGATTGCAGTCTCTAAGCTTGTGCTACTGTGGTGTGTCCGTTGCAATCTCCAAGCCTGTGGTGCTACTGTAGTGTGTACTATTGCAGTCTCCAAGCCTGTGGTGCTCCTGTATTGTGTACTATTGAAGTCTCCAAGACTGTGGTGCTACTGTAGTGTGTACTATTGCAGTCTCCAAATCTGTGGTGCTACTGTCGTTAAATGATATGCAGTCTCCAGTGGAATTCAAGCTCCCGTTCCAATATGCGAGTGAATTGGCAGTTATCCGTTTACAAAGGTGCACTGGGTGGACAGCATCGTAGAACAGCCAGCATTACAGCCGGCATGTATGATTTCGAATGTAAAGCGGCCCTTTGAAATCATTAACAAACAACGATGCCCAGTCTACTAAGTATATTAATAAAGTGCTCTTCTCGGCAGCATGCGTGCGTAGCTGGGTGATCGACACCTTCTTGACTTGGGATTAACCACAGACTAGTTTTGGCCAGTCGACCCGGAATGTGTGTTCGGCAACACTCGTTGATGTCCTAATCACTACGCGACGCGCGTAAGATCTGATTCTGACGTAATCCGGTGGAGAGATGTCAAGCTCGGCAATGACTGATCAGTTGGAACTGCCCAGAGGGAGGGAGGCACGCACCAGCTAATACCGCTGTGCTATCTATCATGTGTAACCAGCCATAGAGAGGTAAGTATGTGAAAACTAAGGAGCGGGCAATGCCATTATCCCGCTGCCATCTTCCCAACGTAGCGTCAAAAGTGTAAGTTAGCATCGGTCCCCCTTCACATCCCATGGGTTATGTCCCTCTAAAATAGGCGATTCGTAACAGCACACTGCAATGAATAAAATAGATGGAAACCTATGGTTGCTGATAGCGATGACCGGATATTAGACGTTGCTTTTCGCGTCTAGTTCATTTTGAATTGACGAAGTAACTTGAAATGCAATATCGGCAGTAAGTAAATGGCCAACGGTGAGCTGCTCTACACTGATCGGACATAGGTGCTGGGTCGGACTGCCAGTTTTGGCCGCCATATCACGGGAATAATGCTTGCCCGTTGATACGACAAGCATTATTTCAAACCTAGACTGTAGGTTAAATATGTTGCCAAAACATGAACTCATTGAGGTGAAAGTCAGTGGGTACCGCTTTAGTTGCAAGTCATGATGCATGTCTACCGTCACGCCAGGGTAGATGTCGCCCCAACCAGTCAAGGTCCTGCCCAAAACCACTCCGAGTACTGGTCAAAGTGTATTACATTACAAACGCTGTATTAGTATAAATTATCAGTGGGGTAGAAGCGTGCTCCTCGCACGTGACACAGGCACACATACATTACACATTACACGGCACTCGCTAACATCAGCACACTCATTGCACGAAACATGAGCTGCGGCTCCGGGAAACGGGAACCAACTCACTGAGTCCAACTCACGGAACTCACGGCTAGGAAGACGGACGAGACTCGTCTGAGCGTTTACAATCACGGTTCTGTCTCGATCAGAGCACGGACGGACACAAGCTGGGGGAAAGGTCGGCACGGTATTACGGCCCGACTCACGGACCCAGTGTGATAAAGATGGCCCGTGACACAAACATCATTGGGTTACCAAGTTTCACGTTCCGGGTAGGTCACAATCGATCACGGTTGGAGCGCGGGCGGTCGCTCCGCGATCACAGGTGGCGCTAGGCCTGTGGCAGGACCACGGCGGGCGTCCCCAGCGGCGCCGCCTTCGGTGTCACCCCGGCTATGACGGGTCGCGTGTCGGCGCGGCCGGCCGCCGGTAGGGCCGTGGGCCGGGCCACGCCGGCCGCCGGCGCTGGCCGGGCTTCCTGCGCCGACTCTGGAGAGGTGGGAACGTCAGCCGCCGGCGCCGCGGGGGGCTGGGTGGCGGCGTCTGCCCCGGAGCCGGGCCCGTTCGGCAGCCACTTGCGGATGGTGAGGCGCACCAGGCCGTCCGGCTGCTTCTTCAGCAGGTTCCAGGCCTCGATGCGCGCCATGTGCGTGATGTCCTGGTCGTTGATCGCCAGGATCTGGTCTCGCACGTGCAGAAGGCCACTCTTGTCGGCAGCTCCGCCTGTCGAGAGGGGAGGGAGACTGTCAGCGCCCTCTGTCGTGAGTGAATGTCAGCATCATTATGTCGTAGGATTGTCAATACCGCCTGTCAAGGAATTATCAGCTCCGCCTGATGTAAGACAGGAGAGGCTGCCAGCGCTTCCTGCCGTGCTGGTCGTGGGGGATTGTCAGAGCCATCTGTAGTGCGACAGTGAAAGGAGAGGCTGCAGCTAGTGCTATCTCAAAACTGCCAGCGCCCTCTGTCGCAGGAGACCATCAGCGCTGGGTGGCGACCCGTGCCAGTCGTGAGGGGTTGGTCACTGGTCAGAGTGGGAGGGGAGCTGTGCTCTCAGTGCATCTCCAGTAGGGAGCTGTGAGCGCCCCCTGTGGTAAGAAGCGAATGCTGACGCAGTCTGAACAAAAGTGGAGCCAAGTGATCGCTAGGGCAGCCCCAACCGGGCTGTTGTACACCTAGTGTCTGTAACTTCACCGACAGTCACTCCTAGGCTGACAGCCACTTCCGAAAGCAGCACGCCCTTTAGGAGAGGGCCCCTTTGAGTAGCTGTGTGGCCTGTTCCACCGGAGCACTCCCTTCTCCACCAGATGGGTTAACGTTTGAACTACTGCTGCGCACCAGTCGGTGGTCAACTTGCCCCATTGTTTCCCCAATCCTCCAATCCCATGGCCCTGAAATGGTCTCAATAGACTGAAAGAGCCTAACCCAACAAAAACAACACAAACAAACGACAATGTGAAATCATGGCCGAACGCCGCGTGTTAGTATTTGCCACGAACCCACTTACTTTTGGCATTTACTAGACGTCGTACCCAGTGCCCGGGACTACTACACACGAAATTTCGTGGATTATAGCTATAGCATTTTCCTCCTTTTGGTTCCCGGAGTAGCAAGTGATATCACCAGCAGGGAACGTAAACATAAGTAAGCAGCTGGTGGTAAAGGAGCACTTTTACAGGCAATTACAGTTGAAAGTCAGTACCTGCTCCAGGGACTTTGATGTCGTCCCGTTTAGCAAAACCTATGAAAACGTACCAACATCGTTATGCAGTTACATATCTGCATGCGTACCTGTGAATATCTTTTTGGCCACGAGTGGCCGGTCTCCCAGAGGCGAGTCCTTGCCGCCCTGAAGGCTGAAGCCGAGACCGGCGCCCTCCTTCTTCAGCGAAATGGTCACCGGGGGACCCCGGAACTCGTCTTCCTGCGCCAGCTCTGCCAGAGGTCACACAGAGGTCAGGTCGAGGTCCAGAGCAGGTCAGACGGAAGTCAGAATGACGTCAGATTATGGGTCACTTACAAGTCGAAATACACTGGCCAAACGAGTGTCCAATAATGGTGACACCGGCATCAACACATGGAGGTCAGACACTTGCAGATGCAATGGTTGTAAAGAGAGGTCAAACGAAGGCATTATACATATTTGGCATGGGGAATTACGATCAATCTCAATCAGCTGCAGGTCAGGTAATGGTAAGAAAAAAATATCAATCAGAGTTAAAGGGACCCTCCCACCATAGGCGTAGGAACAGGGGGGGGGGGGGGGGGGCAGGTGGGCAAGTGCCCACCCACTTTTCGAGGTGGGGGGGCCAACCATGTGTTTTGGCCCACCCACTTTTTACTCGAGGCCCCTCGTCTCGATTTGAGAGGACGTCGTCACCTTCCAGAATAAACAAACTCGGTAAAAATAACTTCCACGAATCCCCACGCACGGACTCCAAGGGGCTGTGATGGATCCAAGGAGGCCCTCTGTTCATACTTGTCAGTCGAAGCCCCTGAGACTGATGGCCTGAGAGGCCCTAGTGGATCTGAGGAGGCCCCAATATCCACACTGGTCTGGGGAGGCCCCTGACACTGGCGGTCTGGGAGGCCCCTCTATCCACACTAGTCAGAGGTCTGAGACTGGTGGTCTGGGAGGCCCCTCAATCCACACTAGTCAGAATAGGCCCCTGACACTGGCGGTCTAGCCGAGGCCCCCTACCCTCACTAGTCAGAGGAGGCCCCTCTATCCTCAATAGTCAGAAGAGGCCCCTGAGACTGATGGTCTGGGAGGCCTATCCATCTACACTGTAGTCAGAGGAGGCCCCTGAGACTGATGACCTGAGAGACACTTATAATCTCACCAGGCAGAAGAGGCCCATGAGACTGAACGACTGAGAAGCCCTTCTATTCATACTGGCCACAGGAAACCCCCAAAACTTTCGGTCTGGGAGGTCCCTCAATCCAGCACCAGTCAGAAGAGTCCCCTGAGACTGATGGCCTGGGAAGCCCTTATATTCACACTAGGCAGAGGAGGCCCCTGAGCCTGATGGTATGAGAGGCCCTCATATTCACACCAGTCAGAAGAGGCCCCCGAGGCTGATGGCTGTGAGGCCCTTCTGTTCATATAACTGGCCACTGGAGGCCCCTGAAACCGGTGGTCTGGGAGGGCCCTCTATCCACACTAGTCAGAAGAGGCCGCTGAGACCGATGGTCTGAGAGGCTCTTATATTCATACTGGCCACAAGAGGCCCCTGAGACTGAAAGTCAGAGAGGTCCACTCCTAATGAATCTGAGGGGGCCCTCTATCCACATTTACACTTTCCTAGGGAGACCCCCGAGACTGATGGTCTGAGAGGCCCTTTTATTTATACTGTCCACAGCAGCCCCCTGAGATTAATGGTCTGAGAGGCTCTTCTATTTATACTAACCAGAGGAGGCCCCTAGGATTGATGGTCTAACAGGCCCTTCTATTTATACTAGCCAGAGGAGGCCCATGAGACTGATGGTCTTAGAGGCCCTTCTATTCAAACTAGCAGATGAGGCCCCTGAGAATGATAGTCCGAAGAGCCATGCGGCGGCAACTGGCCGTGACCATATTTCGGCTCGATAGGGCCCCACAGAGCTCATGAGAGCACCTCAAGGGCTCCTAAGTAGACACGCTTATCCCCATAAGGGTGCCACGCCGGCTTCTGAAGGCTCCTTGTAGGCATCTAAGGGCCCTTTCCGGCCTCTAACGGCTCCACCCGCCTGTGATGGTTCCACACCAGTGTTTATGAGCGCCACACAGCGGCGCCTTTGAGGGTCATACTAGTGTCTCTTAGGGCCCTGTATCGGTGGCTCTGGGGGCCCCACACCGGCGCCTCTGTGGGCCACCACACCTGTGCATCTCAAGGCTCTATAGGTACAGTCCACAGCAGAAGTAATGTGGGGTTTCAGTCATGGGTATGTTCTGCTTCTGAAGCTTAGGAACGATTAACCAGACTACAATGAAACTTTGAATGTAGCTTATATGTATCGTCACCCTTGCAGCTGCAACTTTAGCTATTGACATCTTCTTTTCGAGCACTCCGCATTAAACAATCGCCAGTCAAAGCCAACCGTTGAGATTGGTAAAACCACACATTACTTTAGCGGTGGGCTGTACATCTGAAGGACCCACACCGACACCTCTGAGGGCCCCACACCAGTATCTCGGAGCTCTGAAGGCCCCACACCGGTGACTCTGAGGACTCACCGGCTCCTGAGAGCACCATGTTGATGTCTAACGGCTCCAGAAGGCCACTGAAGGCACCACACAAGCTCTCACTGAGCTCTAATGTCCATGTACCGGCCTCTCAGGGATTTAAGCCAGCACATTCATAGCTCCACACCAGCAATTGTTAGGGCTTCACACTGAAGTATCTGAGGGTTCCACACCGGTGTCTCTAAGGGCCACATACCGGCATCTCTGAGGGCCCCATACCGGCGTCTCTGAGGGTCCGCATCTGGCGGGCACCCATCAGCGACTGAAGGTCCCACACTGTCGACTCCGAGAGCCCCATCTGCGTCTGGGAGCACCATGTCGTCTCTAAGAACCACAGCGGCTCCTCCGTACGAAAGATGGGCGCCTGCATGCCAAAGGGGATCGGTTCTGAGACAGTAGGGCACCTACGTGCAATAGAGGGGCGCCTATGAAGCCCATAGGCGCGCCTCAATGCGAAAGAGGGGCGCCTCTGAGGCCTACATATATGGGCGTCCACATGCAATAGAGGTCTGCAAATTGCAACTGATCAATGCCATGGGGGTGCATTCATAAGAAACAGGGGCGCCGGCATGGCAAAGAGAGGCGCCTTCAAGTGTCCATAAAAGAGAGACGCCTATGATAAGCGCACATTGTATGCGACAACGGGGCGACTGTGGGACATATAGGGATGTCTCTGATGACTATACCTACATAGGACGCTTATATGCCAAAGGGGGCGCCTATGAAGCTAATGGGGCACCTGGGAAACGAGGAAGACATTTGTGTAAGGGTTTTCAGGGGTCATGCGCCGTTTGCGGCAAATAGATTCTAAAAAAAATCGGAGAGGGAATAAGTTTTAAAAATGGTGCGGACTTTCCGCACTATTTGCTTAAGCGGTTACGCCCCTGGGTGCATCTGCCCGATCTCAGAAGCTAGATTTGGAGGTCATACTTGAAAGCAGCCAGCAGGACGAGGCAAAAGTTGGAGGCCCCTGAAAATAGGAGGCCCCTGGAAAAGGAGGCCCCTTGACAGGGTGGCCCACCCACTTTTAATGACGTTCCTACGCCCGTGCCTCCCACCTTCAAAAAAGTTAATGAATTGGCATGAAAGTGATGTCCCTTGGTTCAGAAAGAGCGAAAACGAATATCTACCAAATTTCACCGAAAAATATTCACTGGTTTTCAAGATATTAGGCTTTTACTTTTGTTTACTTTTTGGGATCTCCCCTGTTACTAGCGACTTTATTTGGAAGCAATAATTTGGCAGCCTTAAAGTGCGGCAGACGTTGCGCGCAAAGCAGCGTATACCACCACGTGTTAACGATGGTTTTAGTCTAAGATTTAAAAATCGTTAGATCTCCGCTGACGTCACAAATTCTAAGGGGGCATTCCAATGCATTAGCCCCTTAGAATCCGAAAACTGCAAGTTTGAAATTCCCTATCTTCGAATTAAAGCATTTTTCGATGTTGTGAATGCCCAAACCGGTATTTGCAGGCCATGGCCACCAATTTGGCTATCTCAACTCAAAACTAATGTTATCCCTCGCCCGTATTGGTGTTTTTCCAGCCGCGAACGTATAGGGGGGGGGGGGGTCCGTTGGACCCCCCCCCTTGCCGTTTCGCCCCTGATCGAGCTAGAGCTTCGCGGAAAAAAACGAGCGTGTTGCCCGTGACGAGAGGAAGCCGATGATACCCAATTTTAAGGTCCTAGGTCATTGGTTGACCTTGCAGGTCAGGTCAATGACCCCAAAGTCGGGAAAATCGGGACCTGTTAGAACGTCGTAAAGTGTGGCTGCTATGGGTTTTTTTCGGGGTGCTGATCACGAATATCATGTTAGTTTTGATCACAGATGATGTCTTCATGCATTTAGGCCAGGTCGGGTCAGGTCAGGTCAGGTCAACCAGTAAGGGTATTCGTAGTAGGTGGCAACCGCCTCTAACAGCTTCGTAACATGTTACGAAGGCACCAAAACTACTTCGTAAATGTTCATATGGTTGCTAAATTCGAATTCAGCTCCAAAAACTGGTATAGAAACATGTAAAACTCGAAAAAGTGAACCGAGGTCATCAAAGGTCAATGACCTGACCTGACCTTCAGGTGACCTTGACACCCACCCTCATGCATGGGGGCAACATCATATCACATGTTTGAACGCTTGAAACCACGAAAAGACTGCAAACGCGCGGCTAATGCTAGCCGACATACGCCGGATCGCGATTCCGGCCAAACATGGTCTCGAAAAGTAGGTCACAGGTCAAAGGTCATTTGGGTCAGGGTCATGAAATTTTCGGGGTAGGTGTAAAATTGATGAACGCGAGGGTACTGAAAGTTTCGTCGCGATCGGCCGCTTTTTACGCGAGTTATTTGCGAAAAACCGTGGGGGGGGGGGTCCGTTCGACCCCCCCCCCCCTATACGGGCGAGGGTTAAGGTGGGAGTGTCCCTTTAAGAGGCCGGTCGTAGGGATGCGTATCCAGTAAAAACACATGCGCTCTTTCCTCCGTTCACTGGATGGTTCAGGGGAGAGACTGGCATTAAAATTCATGCGATAGTTATTGACATAATAGTAGCTTACGCGCTCTGCGATAATGACCGCGATAATAGTGTGCGATTGTTTATCTCGAACTGGTTCTGTTGAGCCGCGACGGCGAGATATATAGAGCATCGAGAGTGATTCATGGAGAGTGACATAGCTACCCCATTGCATACATAGAGTGGCCAACACCTCCCAGGTCGCTAGAATTATATCAGACCCATCCCGCATCACTCCAGCATACCGCCCATGGCGAGTGTTACCGCTGAGTTCTGGCTAGTGTCGGCCGCCGAGAGGCGGGACCGCTCCGCGCGCCACTGACGCTCCCATGACCGACAGATGTCGCTCGCGGTGTGTCCCAGCGCAGCAGCTGTACCGCTGAACCGGCCCGCGGAGATCGTGGCCGAATTAAGGCCAGCCGGGATGAAATCTCCGCTGGGACGACATGTCTCAGCGCTACGTGAGAGAGCGTTACTGGCGCGGATGATGGGTGGTGGTCGGTTGTGTGGGGCGAATGAATGGTTGTGTCAAACGCAGACCTTGACAGACTGTCTAATGTCGTCATCTCGATTTTGCGAGGTGAGATGAATCCAGAAAAAAACTTTGGGCTTCAATCTCAAACATTCGTCCATTGAAGCATTTCCGTATACCGCAGCGTGCAAAATATCAGCCGGACATCCATAACAAATCCCTTTGGGGTCATTCGCATGCCAAATATCTACTAAATATAGATGGAACCCATGTCGAGCCAAGCTCCGAATTTAACCCTCGGCACGGCGAGCCGTCCCTAACTCCGCAAATACGGCTGGCCCGCCGCATCTTATCCGTGCTAAGTCCAGCGCAACATGCTCCAGCACGGCTTGAGTCACCCGACATGGGCAGACACTCTCCGCACCGCTCATGAGGCGTAATTACATGGTCATGGCAGTGCCCAGCCAGCGTGGATACAAAGGGAGGCGCGTTTCGGGATGCAGTGAGCGACTCCTTTTCGGGGCCCGTTGCTGCCGACCTGAAGCTTGCATCAAATCACCTACCTCGGCAGAATCGACAAATTATTTTTGTAGAAGCTTAACTACCGCGGCAAACCACCTGGTGAAAGGCAATGAGTAAATTGCAGTCTTGAGTCTACCTAAGTAGGGTTTTGGTGCAACAAGCTTCTGATGAGTTTGTCACGTTTGACGTTGCACTTACCGGAGGCCAGGCTCTTGCTGTCCATGGGGCTCTCGAGGATCTTTGGTGGCCGGCTGTACATGGTGCTGATGGAGGGCCGCTGGTCCTCCGAGTTGGGGTCGTGCGGTGTCACCGAGCGTGACCTGGACAGCACCAGGACGACCTCTGCGCGCGGCGCCTGCGGGTGGGTCAAACAGAGCGCGGTCAGGGACGCTTAGGGCGGGTGGTGCTCCTGGGGTATTACGGCCGCGGCGAGAATTAGGTGGAATACACATTACACAGGTGGTCGTGGTCGGCGGACCGGGACACCGGTACGCGGCGCGCAGACGGACCGGCGCTGAGAAAGGCAAACAGGACAGCACCGAGACACAAGAGGCGGTCTGTGCCGCTGTGAATCGGCATAGTGAGACAGCGCTGCGAGACAGAGGCAAACACACCGACACACAGCAGAACTGAAACAGCTGTGTCAGCCATTACTTGAGACATCCCCGGACCTCACAGTCGTGACAGGCACACAAACACTGCCCCCCCCCCCCTCCGGCCCCCTCCGCCGCCCACGCCGGCCGGCCGGGCGGCTCGTTGGAAGGCAGCTGGAGTCGGCTCACGACCTCCACCCACCGCCCACGACTCGGGCGCACCGCCGGCCGCCCGCGCCCCTCCCGGCCGCTGATAGCCGGGCGGTGACTGGTCAGTTCCAGCACATCGGCCACGGGCGCGGGCGCGCACCTGAGGCAGAACACGGCCGCGCAGAGTCGACCGGCCGACCTTGCGGTCCGCGCAGCACCCAAGCGGCGGCAGCCCAGGTCCGGCTCGACACGCCAGGGTAGCCAAATGAAGCGGCCCAATTAACCCCAGCGCCAAACATGACCGTTGCTAGGTGACACAGACATCCACTTGGATTTTTAACAGATGAGCTATGCGGATACAGGAAAGGTTGTCAGCTAGCGGCCGAATGAGTGCGATTGTGTTGTGATTGTGGCCTCTCAGAGCTGGACGCATGACAAATGGCGGTGCATCTCCCCACACCGCTGGAGAATGGTTGGGAAACAGCGGGCTGCCGGACCGAGTCCGGCCGTGATCTGAAGAGTTCAATGAAGTACGGGAAGCAGACACAACGGAAGTAAACAGATGTCTGTGTATAGACAAAACCGAGTCTCAATGAATTCACAAAGGTCATGCAATCCGTTAGTTGTGCAAGCTGAAACAGCGTAGAACCAAATATAATTCTGCCATAAAGTTGCAATATGCGAACGTTCGTGAAGTTCAGTTCGGCTGTCACTTATACTCGTAACGCTATCCACAAAATACCTTAACCTCTGCCACAACGCATCAACGTATCTGAGCCACAAGTGGACTCTCTGTCCACTTGTGCAGCACCCAGTGTCCACTACATATGTCCATTGTCCAGCGTACCCAGAGGTGCGCGCACGTTATGCACTGACCTTGAGCGTGTTGAGAGCTTCGCGGTGGGACATGCCCTTGGACGACCTGCCGTTGATGGAGATGACGCGGTCTCCCTTCTTGATCCGGCCGTCGCGGTCAGCCACCGAGCCGGTGATCACCTTGTTCACCTGCAGCCGATCGAACGGGCAGCCGTCAGCCGTCGGAGGGAAAAAGGGGCATCGAACACGCATCTCAGCCGAATGGGAAGACAACGGAGCTGAATATACTGATGGGGGCAGGTGTCTTGCAGCATACAAATGGGTACATATAGCGGCATGTACATAGACACATCACTGCATTACTTTTGTAAATAATTTTTATCGCAATGCATCGTACCACGATGAACAAAATCGTTAAAGTGCTATATAAAAATTCATCCATACAATGACATGGTCTATTTGCAGCACTGAAGAATAAAGTTTGATGCGCGATCGTATCTAACAGCCGGTGAACTATAAATCGTCAGGATATATGTAATCCTGCTTAAATTGGACGGTTCATGTGCAATACAAAAGGACAAAATTGCTAGCAATGTTTGTTGTCTTTTCGGAGACATCAAACAACTAAAACATCTCCATTCATGTCTGGTAATCGGTAGTTTTCCGGTGTTCGACAATTGCAGTGCCCTGCCGAGCCACTGTCCAATAATTCGGTACCATGGTTGTAACAGGCCACACAATGGGCTGCGGCCAACTGCACAAACATTCCATGGTGAATTATTGTCGCACGGTGATGCTCGCGCCGCGTGAAGGTAAGCCCAGGACATTCATCAACGGTGGACAATAGGGGAAGCCGGGGGAAGCCCGGCATAGTAAGCTCTTTTTCATTTTTATTACATACCATACGTGCTGTATAAAATGTTGATATCCAGCTAGCTAGCTAAGTTCATTGGCCGTGTTTTCCCAAAAATTCGGTTTCGTGGAATAAGTATAAGGTTGAGAAAATCGAGTTTTAAAAAAGTGTTGATTTTTCTGGGGTAAGCCCGGCATAGGGGTAACGCCGGCCACCTCCCCAGCGCTTTACAACGAGTTGATGAAACCATTATGTGTTTTCCAAATATTAACGGAAAGTGAAATATTAAGGTACTGGTTAGCTCTGAACATCTTAGAGTTTATGTCACTACTGGTATTTTAGCTAGCGTCTACTACATATACAGTACAGGTCGATGAAAATCGTGATGCAAAATTGACAAAAAATGTGCATTTCAAAATTCCTTAAAATTTATTTATCTCTTTACCTTAATGCATCATATTGCATATCATTCGACTCGGCTGATGAAGAAGAACACAACGACAGCATTTTTGAAGCTCTAGCTTCATTGTCTGTCGCGTTATCTGCAAAAACGTAGTTTGACCCTAGTTGACCTTAAGTGACATGACTGGCTTTGTCTATGATAACATGTTTATTTTCGAAATTTATCTTTGATCTAGGTGTAAACCAAACCTGCTCAGTACCTATTATCTCATGGAAAACAGTGGTTTAGTGGCATCGCTCTCGGTTGGGGGTAAGCTTGGCCACTCGTCCGGGGTTACCCCAATGTGCTAATTTTTATTTTAGAACAGCGATATTCGAAAAAAATGTCATACTTAAGCCAGCCTGCCTTGTCACCCCTCACTACAAACACTTAAACGGTCCTTACATAACATTCGTATAAATATTAGTACTGTATGGTATAACATTTACAGTGCAACATATCTCACTTTTTAGCTAAAAACCCTTAAAATATCATTTTTGCGCTATAACTTTAACAATATGCAATTTTTGTCAGCCTTAACTTTTTTGCTGGCGTCAGCTTAGCTGCCACGCTGTAAGGACAAACAGTTGAGCATTTTATTGTGAATAATTTAGCCGGAAACGGGGTGGCCGGGCTTCCCCCGCGCCCGGGCTTCCCCCGGCTTCCCCTACGTGTTTAGCGAAGTGCATGTTGCGTGAAAGCGATTCGTGCCATGTCGCACTAGCGACAAATTGGTGGTGGTTTAATCTCAGGCGAGGCAAGTTTTATAGGGCTGTTGGAGGTAAAATATGAGACGGTCGAGCCAGGCGTTACCATTTATGGAAGACTGACTAGGCAGTTAGGCTGCTCCCTCTTGGCTTTTGCAGATGGGTTTATCGCAAACCAAGCACATCTGATCATCATAAAAGGTTCATTGCGCCCTCCTCTCACGTCGTTCTACTCGTTTCTGCAGAGAACTGAACGACCCGCAGAAAATCGCAGCACGTCGTGCATGCAAACTCCGAAAAATATATAATCCAATATTTTGTGGCTATTCAGCTTTGTAATAGCATCAATGGCTAAAGGGCAACTGCATCTGCAATGATCAAATATTGAGGCGACGCGATAGCGGCATGCGACCTCGCGGATTTTGAAATAACGATAGTCGATAATGTTATAATTACGATGGACTTTGGAGGAAACAACATTGATTTTAGCTACCAAGTGAGCTCATTACTAAAATACAGCTATTTAAGATGGAATGTGTACTGCAGTTGATTTTAACTACAAAGTGAGATGACGTTTTGATGTCACTTTCGCATAAATGATTATCCCAAGCAGATCACGAAAAGGCAACGTTCAATAACTTCTCAAATACGTTGAACATCGACTAAGAGGGTGACAGAAGCTCGAGCCCCACAGGGCCGACGTACCCAGCGACCAGCACCATTCTCCGTGAGAAGCCTGGGAAGCGGAAATGGTCGCCAGTAGTTCTATTTGCGGAAAAGACCGGTGGCAGGTGGTTTAAAAGAATTGACCGCTGTATCCATTCCTCACGCGTCGCTCTTAGGCTAGTGTTAACCCTATTAGTGGCAGGGGGGGTTGTTTTTATCCACCCCTCAGGTTTTTCGGGAATATCTCCGAAACCACTGAAGCAACGATGCTGAAATTTTCTGACTTTTCCTAAAACTAAATTGGGCACATTCCCTGAAAATTTCAAGTTCATAACTTTACCAGGGGCGGCTCCAGAGCACTGGGAATTGGGGGGTCCTATTCGTGAAGCGAGTCATTTGGGCGAAGATCACGATGCTGCACCAGTTTTACGAACAGTGAATGAAAGGTATCATGTGATAACATATAAAAAGTTATTGTGCATCCTCTTTTGACACGTTTTTGCTATAATAGGCGGATCCAGGCGTCCAAAAAGGGGGGTTATTTTTTACCTCCCAACATAGGTGCCCTGACACCGCCTATGCATGACCAATACAATTTTAGTCGTTCTCTCATAAGAAAATTGTAACATAACAAGACCATTGCCACCCTTTTTAGAAACAGTACCAACAAAAACCTTATTTACTATACTTTTTGTGTACCCCCAATCTCAATGATCTGTATCCGCCTATGATTTTTGAAAATGCATATTTTTAGGATCCATGTGAATTCCTGGTTCATTTTCTATCGATCGGCAAAAGTTGCGTTAAGATTGGTTCAGAAACCTGGCCGTGATAAACAGTCTAAAATGTATCTGCAATTTGCCCGTTTTTACCCCCCTCTACCCCCCTATTGACATTTTTTAATTTTTTTTTTTTTTTAGAAATGTAGATCTCGTTGAGCCACATCGAATGCCGTTTGAATTTTGAAAATCGGCCCGTTAGATCTCGAGATATCAAGGGGGGGTCGTAAACAGCCCCCCCCCCCCTGCCACTAATATGGGGTAGCCAGGAGCCTGCCACTAATAGGGTTAACATGACTCAGAGCAGAAGTACAAAATCCGTTGGCGGAAAGCCTATCAGGAAGTCAATGTTGTTAGCAAGACTGCGTATCTCGGACCGAGCAAGTGTACAATCACAAATGCGACAGGTCACTTCCCTACAGTAAAATTGGTTTTAACCTCGAGTTACTACTTATTTACGCTTTTGGAATCTACGTAAGGTTCTGTGCGTGGCTGAGACTGTGGCACAGAGCACCTGTTCATGGGTGTCGAGCTACCAAGCCTCAGTCAACCTGTATTTAAATCAGAACGCTATGGTTACAGCGTTTTACGTGCACATTCTTTCGGACAAGTGCCAGCGATATTGGATCGTAAATAGGCAGCGATCCATTTTTTGATAGAAATGACTGTAAGCAAATACATGTCAACAAAACGTACCTATTTAATGGTAAATCGATGTTGCCAGTGTAAATCAGAACTTGCATCACAAGATACGATTTATGTAGGGGAGAGGCGGGAGAATTGGGACTTAATTCTCAAGCCATATTTACTGAGATATTATTTGAAAAGTATTGTTGCCAAGCTGCTTCGTGCAGCACCAATAAAAGATAGGCCATTTCTCTGCAGCATGCCATCATAAAAAACCGAGCGTATGCAGTGGTGTGGTTATGTGTGGAGAAAAACAAAAACACTTATTTTGGGGAGAATAGGGACACACGCAGGAGAAAAGGGACAGACACGAGGCTGAATTGGGACACATAAAAATGAGATATTGGGACAACATTTTTATCTCGAATTTTTGATCTGTCTATGCCTAGGCAATCAATTGATACGTTGGAACTTATATTCACACTATCTGCTTCGTTAAGGCCGGGATTGTCATTCACGATCACGATGTTCCCATGAAATGTACATTTTCAGATTTCTTGGTCTTCGCTTTGATGTATTTGTGGATAGGGGGCGCAGATGCAAACCCGTCCAAAACATGAAGGTAAATACACATCTTTTTGCACCATTTTACCATTTTCACCATTTGGTGTCCCAATTCTCCCACACCACCACCATATCAAATCGCGCAATTTTTCGGTCATTTGTCAGTTACAGAGCGTGTTCATGCAATCTGGCAATCGCATAAAGACGGTGTTTAGCTAGCATCGCAACATCTTGAAAGAAAGATAGTTTGGCATATGCAATACACAGACAACTCAGAATAACACTCGAAAAAACAAGTTTTTTGGTGCTCAGACAGCACAGCCCAACCGACGGACACAAAAGGGTTGCTGAGGCTTCCCATTGTTGCACGACACATCGAATCAAAAGGTAAAGGCAAAAATCGTGCAAGGACGCTGCCCATTTTTTAAATATTGGCGTGTCCCTATTCTCCTGCGTCCCAATTCTCCCGCCTCTCCCCTATGTGCCACCATTGTGCCACAATCATACCAGTCTCGGAAAGAAAGTAATGCAACCCAATGGAGTAATCGCGCTGTACAGAATGGATCACCTATAAATTCACTTGACAGCTGATCCAGTGGACTGATAAATAGGTACCATAACCGGTCACCGCTGCCCTCGACACCTATCGAACATGTGGACAACTCGCGCAGCAACGAGACATTACATAACAGGCCGATTGCATTTTTAATGGCAGAACTAGGAATCGGGTCGGGTCCAGGTCCAGGATGCATTGCGTTTACAGTGTCTATCAATGTAAACGTTTCATTAATTAGCGTTCTAACGTTTCAACAAAAATAAGACACAATAAATAATTCCTTCATTTTGTTCAATAGACGACGTAGGTAAACGTCTCACAGACCACGGCGTGTAACAATTTAATTATGCATAGTTAAAACAGATATCAGGACTTCTCCAATTTTCTTTTTTTCGCAGAAAGTAAATAAATTAGACATGTGTGATTTCGAGCTAGCGCATAGAAAACTTCAAACGAAAGAGCATTTTTTAATCTCGTAAAACACGCCTTCTGCCATATTTGAACCGGCGACCCACCGATATCTCCTTGTTCTCGTAGTCGGCGCCTCCTGCCAGCGTGACGCCGATGCTGCCGCCCATCATCTCCCGGTGGATAACGGCCACGATGATCTCGTGAGAAGGCGTGCCGGACTCCTCCAGCGACTGGTTGGCCTCGTCAATCAGCTGCTGAAGCTCCTGCGGGCCGCACAAAGTCCGTGTTCACTCGCAGTGTCATTGCCAAAAACTACAAGGAGATAAACAGCATGCATGTATGTAGCGACACATCATTTCGGCGGAACGAAACATTCATTATACATTCAACGTGGCGATGATGTGAAGTGATATGAAGTGTAGACGTTAATAAGTCTGGACCAGCATAGTGAGGTGGCTATGTGTTGAACTTGAAACCACTACCGCAGCGCGACTGCACTGCAGCACGGTATAGCCGTCTGTCCAGTGTCCGTTCGGTATACGTCTCCCAGCGGAGTAGCGACGACACCAGACCGGAAAAGGGGCGGTGCGTGCCTCACAACTGGTCGGAGAATGCTGCCGACCGGCTCCATGGCGCTCACGGGACAGACGGCTGGCGGCGCGAGCCGGCCGCTCTGGAGTCATCGTGGATCACAGTGTGTAATGCACACAGTGAGCACACTTGAGTTTGAACCAATTCTGAATGAAAAGGATGCGTTGCAACTCGCTCGGTGGTCTAAAAAAGAAACTGAAGGAAACGGATATTGACTTGGGTTACCGAATTACTCGGTAAATTATCGTCTCGGCGTAACTCGAGTGTAATGCTACAGTCAGGACAAATCAGTTGTCCTGCTGCTCAAAGCCCATTCGTAATATGAATTCGCATGATCATTAGTGATGCTCCTACCTTACAGACTTCATTCGTTACTCGAGAGACTAGCCTATAATTTTGTTGTGTAATTATGTCAACCCTGAAAGGAAAGAAAAATGCCCGCGAGGTCGACGCTTCGCCACGGATGATAGCTTTCGCGGCGAAATGTACTACCATTAACCCGCGCCCGGCTGGGGGTCCTGGATTTCCACGCCCTGCTGGGGGGGGGGGGGGTGTTCAAACACCCCCCCCCCCTTGTAACTCGGCTCCTGGGCCACGTAGCGATACGCGGAAGGCGGCGTTCGAAAGAGCGTCAAAAATAATGACGAAATCACTTCGGTCAATTTTTTGGTCAGGTCAAAGGTCAGGTCACCAGAGGTCATTAAAGGCAAAAATTCGCCGATTTCCAGGTCGAATGTCGAAAATTTCCAAGAAGCTAACGCATAACTCGAGAACAAATAGAGCTACAGCGCCGCGGAAAAGCGCATTCGATAGCCCTTTTAACGCCCTTTCTGAGTAATTCTCTCAGATTTGACCTAACGTCAACGGTTTTGCCTGCAGGGGGCAAAAACTGCAAAAATAGCCGATTTTTTCGGAAACAGTTTTTCTGCAATAACTTTTGACCCAAGCCTTGTACGAGCTTACTTTTACCGGCATTGTGTTCCTCTCGTCAAGACGCATCGAATGAACTATAAGTTGACCTTGAAAGGTCAACTTGAAAATTTGACCTCAGGTCAAGGTCATGACCTGACCGGAAAGGGTCATGTTGCATATCAGTCGATCCGTATCGTCGAGCTAAACACATCTAAGGCGTTTTCATCGCTCTAGCATGCCTCTATCAAAAGTTATTTGCGAAAAACTGTTAGATACCATTCGTGACCTAAGATGACCTCAGGGCATAAACAAGGGTCACAGACACCATTTTCATGTTCATTGTGTCTAAAACACTTGTATTTCGGTGTTTGGGAGTGTTTATAATGTCTTTTGTCCAAAACAGACGCTTTTCAATTTTCTCCCATTGACTTATAATGGGGAGGTCGCAAAATTGACCTGACCTTAGGTCATCGATATCAAAATTCTGAGATATACATTTTGTATATGCTATTCCTCTTAGCAATCGCTGAAAGTTTCAAAGCGATCGGTCACTCGGTGTAGCTATGACAGACATTGAAACTTTTTATGAGGTGAGGTCACTTCAAGTGACCTGGTGACCTGACCTTGAATGACCTTGGTCTGAAATTTTCACAACATGTGTAGAATTGATGTATGATAAGGTGTACCAAAAACGGCGGCGCGGACGTTTTTGAGATATTTGCGAAAAACCACAAGGGGGGTGTTCAAACACCCCCCCCCCCCCAGCAGGGCGCGGGTTAAAAGTCCCTTTCTCCGAGTCACTTCCCAAGTGCATTTGTCAATGTATGAACTCACATCCGGGCTGCGAAAGCAGTGGGAAGCGGCGTAGAGAGCAGAACCAATCGAGTGCCACTGCTCCGGGAGCAGCCTGACACGGCGCCACGGACCACTGGGCACATGGCGCCACGAACTATCGGCTCTGCGCACTGCAGTGGGCTCGCGGTATTCCGGCAGAGAACCGAAAACCAACGGACTTATTCCGCCCGAAATAGGCCTAAACCCTTCGCTCCAAGGCCGCCGTGAATGCACGCCCATTTCAGTACGCCAGGAGACTGTGTCGGTAACGGGAGAGATGATGCATGCTGTGTCCATATCACGATAGATGGTTTGAGTCATCGAATTTGGTAATCAATACATTTGGCTTTGCCCATGCATTTGGCTTGCAATGCGTCACATTTGATATTCAAAACGTACCGGCTGGATTGACTTTATTACGGAGCGAGCGAAGCGAGCGTAGTCTTTCCTTAGATTTTTGAGGATGGAGATGCTAGTACTGAGCATTGTGTTACATATGATGATGAAGAAACCACTTGACCGATTTACACGCGGTAATTTTTGTAGGGTAGCTTCATTCCTTCTACCAAGTATTGGACTATTCCCGATGCATGTGGGTGACCCCTTATGCACGTGCCACGTGCAAAACGAAGAGGTCTCACTTTTGTAATTGTTGCAATATCTCGGTAACTACTTGGCCGATTGCGCTGAAAGTTGGCATGTAGGTAGGCACCCACTAGGCACTGCATATACATGTGCCAGAGTTGGGGTGCTGCTGCACGTGCGCACGTGCAGGGGTCGTTTCCAGATCTCGAGAACGGCTGGACCGATTGCGCTCAAATTTGGTACACGGTTAGGGACCGGTTAGTAGGGTGCCGTGCACAAGTCAGTTGGGACCCATTTTGCACGTGCGCACGTGCAGGGTGCCGCTTCCAGATCTCGAGAACGGCTGGACCGATTGTGCCCAAATTTGGCACATCGCTAGAGACCAGTTAGTAGGGTGCCGTGCACAAGTCAGTTGGAGGTACCCCCTCGCAATTTCGCACGTGCAAGGCCCACCCTCTCGCTCGCTCCGTTAGTCGCCCCAAAAGGCGTTATACTGGTATTTTTTACTGCATAAGGCATCGAGGCGCACGGAGCTACGGTTTCGTGCCACACTTTAGAGTTAGAGTTTTGGTTCGAGGTCAGAACATTTTGTCGCTAAACACGCTACTCGGGAGGTGCAGGTAGATAGGTACTAATTTTTTTTCATAGGTGGAAGCAAAGCTGAGAAAAATACCACTTGCACAAACGGCGCTTATGTTCAAAACGGGCCCTCTGCCCCATTTACAGGAGGCACCACACGGGCGCTGGGTGTCGAGTCCTGTCCTCGGGTATCCAGATACCATCTGTTGCCGCCCACGGGCGCCGCAACTGCTAACAGGGTAGAGCCACCAACCCCCGCCGACCGAATGGCGTGACCCACAGTACGGGGCGGGGACACGGGCCGCCCCTCGGTGATGACACGCGCCGGGCGGTGCCGCCGCTCACACTGGCCGGATGGGCCCGGGCGGGGCGGGGCAGGGCGGGGAGCCGATAGCGGGCGTGGGCCGCCCGGATGGCACGGATGTGGGCCCCGCCCGGCGGAACAGCCGGCCCGCCGCGCTGGCCCGCCCCGTCAGCTGCCCGACCGATCCAGAGAGCTCAGAGGGGTGGGAGAGTTTCACGCAAGGACCCAGACAACGCTCAGCGGGCAAGTAAAAAATTGAAAACCAGACTAGAAGTGCAAAGTGTCACCCCTGATCGTCATGAATGACCCAGTTGAAATATCCTACAACACATCCCACTAGACTGAGAAAACCAGGCTCCCTCTCATGTAAGGCGCGCTATTGTAACACATCGCGCAAGAACCGGTGTATGGGATTCACAGGTATACAACTGGACAGTGAGTGGCTGTTTTACGTGCCACGAACGAGTGCAAATGAAACATACAAATGGAAAACAGGTGCGACTGTTTCAGCATCGCCCGCTGCTGTGCTATTGAAGAGCAGCCGATGGTGATGAAGGATCCTGCATACGAAGCGTGATATTATGCAGCGCCCGGTTATTACCTCCCACGTGCGTCATCACGCCGGTACACATGGCCCACATCGTGGCCGCGATCCTCTCAGCACGGGATCAGAGGTCAGCGGCGACCTCTTGAGCCCACAGCTGGCTCACGCGAGCCCGATTAAGCGGTCGGCCGCGCGAGAGCCGGCGCCGCGGCGAAGACAGCGAGAGCGGGCCGCACAGCGCACGGCTCCGTGGAAAGCTACCTACCGACAGCGGCGGACGGAGCCGCCAGAGCGGTATGCCCGACAGCTGATCTGCAATGCAGAGAGGCCGGCGGCGTACAAAGCCCTCGAGAGTCGGCGGCCGGCCCGCTGGGACGGCAGGCGGGTGATCGGGGAGCAGCCGGACGGGGGAGAGCGCGCGCGGCCAGTGTCCCGGTAGATAATGTGGCCGCTGATGTGTGCAGCCGCGGCCGGTCGGCAGCTGCAGCCAGCCGTGCAGGCCACAGATTGCCGGTCAGCTGACCGCCGGCCGCCCGGACCGCCGATATACGGTCGTCACGGCCCGACAGCAGACCGGTGCGTCGCCAATGTCCGCCCGTGTGACACGCGTGGCGGCGCAGCTGTGAGACTGGTTGCCATGGCTACTTGGTTTTGGCTTAGGGCGTGACTTGTTCATCTGCGTTTGTGTGCCGTTTCTCGTGTAGCGGGGTGGATACACGCTGCGTCGAGGAGATAGCGCAATCAGCGACGCAGAGAAACCGCGGTTAACGAAGCGGCACGGGAAGTTGTTCATTACTGACTTTCGACTTCAAGATGGTATCTAAATGAGTTTCACTCTTACCGGCAGTGAAACTAGCGATAACTATGCATTACTGGGGTCGATAGCCACGCATTACAGATATCACCGTTTACCCTTTCCACTTGGAGATCACAATCACACTAAACTGCTTCACATTGTTGCATTATCTCTTACATTGACTGCTGCGTAAAACGATCGGAAAATAACACAATAGCATCCTTTAGCCGCTATCAACAGAACGGCGACCGTAAGACGATCCATGCACATGTTTTTTGTTCATGACCATCTATCATGTCTGATGTAAGTTAGTGTATCTGGTCTACTGTCTACACATGAGGTAAGGTGTTTGATGTAACTGATTGCACCAGTTCCGTACTCACATGAGGCGAGATGAGGCTGGTGGACGAGGCCAGCGACGTGATGCTGCCGTAGTGATCCCTGGCCGTGGTCGGCGACGCGGTGGAACCGCCGCCGGTCAGGTGGCCGTCCTCGCTGGCGCTCGAGTCCAAGGACGACATGCGTGTGTGACCCGAGTTGCCAGAGTGCGGCCGGCCGTCCCAGCGCTCGAACGCGCGCCGCAGGTCACTGACACTGAGCGCGTGCCGCGAGCGGGCCGTGCTCTTCAGGTTAGCGGTCAGCATCTCCAGGAGGCTGCTGGTCGAGCCACTGGGCGACTTGGCGCTCTCCAGCGAGTCCATGATGTTCTCCTGGCTGGAAGCCACGCTCGGTGAGCGCAGGTAGCCGCCCAGCTCCCGCTCGCTCTCCATCCAGCTGTGTGGACGAGAGGGCACAGAGTCTTTCTTTTCACGGAGCTGCAGATCCGGCGAACTGTAGCTGGGCGTACTCAGCTTGCGGTCCAGCCCAGAGCGGTCCTGTAGGGAGGGCCACTCGCTGTCCAGAGCCGGAGAGGACACGTCAGCTGGGGCGTCGGTGACGTCCAACGGGGAATCAGTGATGTCGTTCAGAGAGCTGGTGGTGACGTCGGCTGGAGAGTCGGTGACATCAACAGAAGAGCTACTGACGCCAGTGGCATCGCTGGTGTCAACAGAGGATGGAATGTTGAGTGACGAAGACAAAGGAGAGATTGAAGACGGAGGGGACCGCACACTAGAGGAAGCAGGTGACTCTGCTACATTTTCTGATCGAGTTGATGCCGTCCTCGGCGAAGTCGTCTCCGCTCCAGAACTGTCGGCGTTGAGCTGCTGCCACTTCTGCTTCAGTGACGTCACCTTTGTCACCTGTCGGAGCTTGGCCAGGTCGCGGGTCTCACAGCCGGGCGGCGGAGCGCTCGGCCGCCGTTCCCCGGCAAACTTCCTCCAGGCGTCGTCGTCGAGCAGTCGGGGCGGCGACGGTGAGCCGGCGGCGGCCGACAGCCGCGCCTGCTGCTCCGCGTCGCCGGCGCGGCTGTGGAACCTCTCTGCGGCGCGCAGCAGCTCCTCCTCCACATCCAGCTCCTTGACGGGCGAGCCGTGCAGCGTGGACGTGCTGGCGCGGTGGTCGAACTCGAGGCTGCCGGCGCGGCCGCGTCCGGCCAGCTCCGGCTCCTCGCTGTCCGCCGGCTCGTTGACCAGCGTCAGCGTGGACCCGCCGCAGTCAGAGTCGGCCGGCTCCAGACGACTGCGCAGATCCGCCGCGTCGTCGTCGGAGATCTTCCGGCGCAGCTGTCCGAGGGCGCTCAGCGGCCGGGAGTTGAGCGAGCTGCTGCGCTGTAGTGGCTCGGAGCTGTCTGCCAGGCGCGGCCGTGTGGTGCGCGGTTCACTGCGCCGGTCGGCGGAGCGCGGGTCGCGAGGGAGCGGAGAGGTCCGAGCCAGGTCCCGACGAGAGGGGCGCGACAGTTCGACCGAGGACCCACCCAGCTGCGAGGACGTCGACACCAAATGGAACGCCGAACCCGAGGAACCAGACGACGAAAGCACCGAGATGTTCTTCCGTTTGAAAGCTGGCGAGTATTTCTGCATGTTTGGAGACTCTGACTTCCAGGGCGGAGAGGAGAGCTGATGATCGACTTTCTCCGATCTCGGGGTCGCCGTCGGTCTTGGTGATACCGCAGCAGATGCAGTGCCCGAGACGCGGAAGCTAGACGAACTGAGTGATGAGAGCGCCTTACTCTTGATCGTCGGTAGGTCGACCGGGCCCTTCTTCGCCAAGCCATCCACCTTGTCCGGGATGACTAGCCCACGAAGCCGAGACAGACTCCGCTTCCGCTCTTCTGTGATCGAGTTCAGAGACACCTTTCTCGTGAGGCTGCCGGAGTTGCCAGAGTAGCTGAACTCCCTCTCCTGCAGGCCGGCGAAGCTATGCCTCTTCTCCGGCTGTCCCAGGTCGAGCAGGCTCTGTGAGCGCTCGGAGAGGGGTCCGGGGGACACCTCTCGGTACCGACTGGGTCGCTCTGAGAGGCTAGTTACAGAGTCCGAGTGCAGCGAACTCAGGGTGCCGCACTCGGAGGCTCCCCGCAGAGGTCTCTGGCCCAGCGGAGGCCGGCTGCGCTGGGGAGTCACTGGGTTCTCATCGTTTGGCTTAAATCGTTCACCGGATTTGGTGTCTCCACTAGGTACTCGACTGTCGCTGTCTCTTCGTTCACCGAGGTGCATGTTGAGCATGCTGCCAAAACGGGGTCCGCGTCCCTCCGCGATTCGCTTCCTCCTCGCCAGCACGTCCCCAGGTCGGCTTCTCGCAGACTCTGTCTCGGACAGTTTGAGGTCTGACTTCGATCGCGCCTGAGAACGAAGAGGACCACGCGTTGGCAAGTCGTTTTCCAAACTTTTGTGTTTGAGAAGCTTCGGATGTGGCTGGGACAGCTGCTCCACAGACTGACTCGAAAAGAGCGCAATTTTGTCTTTGACGCTCGTCTGACCGCGAGGACTCCTTCCACCGAGCACGGAGCGTCCTCCTGTCCTCTGCAGGTCGTCCATACTCTGCCGTTCCCGGGCCGTCGCCCGCCTGAGCAAACTCGAACTCGGCTCGCTCTCACCAATCCTGGTGGTGGCCCCTCCGAGCGAGCCCGACCGGTGGTTCCTGCCGCGGGTGGCAGTGCTCAGTCCCCGACTGTTCTCCGCGACCGACGGGCTGTCGGCCTTCTCAGCCGTCGGCGAGGTGCCTCTATCGCTGTACCGGGACGGCGGCCGCAGCAGCGCCGGCGTCGTGGACGGAGTCGCACTGCTCGGCCGCCGCTCGGCAAAGTCGGGCGGGAACTCGTGTCCGTCGGGCGGCTGGCGGGCGCCCGACGGCGGCGGCGGGCTCTCTGGACTGCTGTCCCGGCAGCGGCCGGCGCTCGGCGCCCTCCTGGGCCGCTCCCAGTCCGAGTCCTCGCTGCTGGCGGGTCGTTCCGGGTCCGTGTCACCGCCGCCGCTCCAGTGGCGACCTCCGAGAGGGCTGAGCTCGTCCTGGGCAGACGCCTTTCGCCGGCGCTCCACCGACGAGCTGACCTCGAACGACATCGAGCCCTGGTCTGCAACAGACGGAACGGTGCCGATCAGATGGATGTCTAGGGTCAAACAGGTGTCGTCGACAACGTACCATGGCTAAAATAATGCGAGCCGGGTAGAATAAAAATTGTAAGCGCACAAAACTTATCTAGAACACAATGAAAAAATGCACAGAGTTTCGGTCAGCATTTCTTGGAATCTGAAACCGTAACATTACACACATGGGAACGTGAGCAATGAGCATATCGACGGACGGATGCGTCGTAGAACGTAGTAGATGAAAATATGACTGTGTAACCTCAGTTTCTGAAATATGTAAGGTAAAGATAACTAAAATCGGGTCGATCCGGGGCCATCCCACGCATACTACGCCGTCCTCACGAGTATCGTTCTCTACGCTTCAGCCACCCACACGGCATGCCCATAGGCATCTGGCGTCAGCCACAAATATCCCATTCCGGGCGCCAGGCATAACTCAAATCATCTACCCATTATGGAGATGAGCCACGGCCCACATGAACACAAACGAAGCCATTGTGCGTCCTACTCGGAGCGCCATTGCCTGGCCGGCGGAGACGGGGGCGGCGTGGGCACAGAATGCCGGCCGCCTCCCGGCCCGAATTCAGCTCGCTCCACAGAAAACTGTTTGCTCGGGCCTGGCGTGTCTCTGCGGCGTTCATCAGATACGCCCGGCGACGGCCGGCTGCTGGAGCGCAGCTCTCTGAGAGACCGACACGCCCCGACTGACAATGTAGCCGCCGCCGCGGGCTCTGCGGCCAGCGCGGCGCGCGGAGGCATGCCGAGCGCACTGAGACGCGCCGTCAGAGGCCAGTCATCGACTTCAAAGGCGTGTGCTGAACAGCGCTGCAGCGCCGGTCGGCCTGCCCGCGGCTCGCAGATCCAGATCTCAGCGGTCTTTCGGGGGTTATCGCTAAAGTGGCCGAGCCGCGGTAGGCGCGGTTACGAGGCCGTTCACAGGGGCTGCAGAACGGCCATCGTGATCGGCGACATAGGTCGTCAGACGTGTTTTACAATCGGTCACGTGACGTTCATAATTCAGTCGTAGACACGTCACGTGATGTGCTCAGCGCGTTGGTCGTTCAGTGGCGGCGCGTGACAGCCATTGGACCCCGAGTAGCAGTCGTGCTCAAGTGGAGAACATTGTCCGACACTCGACAGCAAAGTGGCACTTACCCAAACCGACGCCGGGCGCGTCTCAGGACGGGGGGAGGGGCTCAGGGTCGGTCCGATGGCCGGCTGGGTGCGCCGCACACCATACCCGGCACACCAGGCACGGATCTATCGGGGCCGGTCACGGTGGATCACCATCTGCGCCACAAGTGGCCATGACGGGCCATCAATGCCAATCGGCCAGCGGCTGCCGCCCGGCCGGCCGCCCACACGGCACTACTTGTATACGCTGTCCGGCGGGTCCCAGAAACGCCAGCTATGTTTGACTGATATCGCATCTACCGATGCGTCGTGACTGATATAGGTACCGTATAGGAGACCTATTCGAAACTTGTTGCAAATGCCAACGCGCAGCGTCACTGAGATTTGACAAAGTTTAGCGAGCATGAGTTAATCAGTAAGCAAACTACAGCTCAAACCAATCTCGTGCCGCGAGTCATCAGGCTAGAGAATTTCCGTAAGACTGGACCCACTCTGCACTGTCGTGAGCCACCTGTCGCAGCCAAGCCCCGGTTCGGGCCAGGTTCGGGCTTCGAGGCCGGTAGGCACCAGTCAGTCGTCCCAATCTGCAGCCATCAACTCCACTCCCATCCATCCATCCATCCATCCAGCTGCACTCTCCAATTCTCCACCAGCAATCAGTTGCGACCCGACTCCATCTGGCAGTCGCAGCCAGCCGTTGCGCCAGCCCTGCCTCTGGCCGTCCTCAACGAACCGTCCTCCGCCGCTCGCCGCACTATCACCGGCGCCCATCAGGGCCGGTGTGCGCACACGCAGATTTACCCGTCGCGCGTGCACGAGCAGAACTCGACCAGGCCGGACAGCCATTCAGCTGGGGACAGTTCATTCATCAACCTGATCGCCACCTTATTTGGGACGATTGTAGTGAGAACGACGGCCGGCTTACTACAGTTATAAGAAACATAAAGCTGCTTACGTCCGGAGCTCTGTGCAGAACAATCCTGACAAGTTACATTTCTTAGATTTATGCCCACACATGTCATATATTAGATTTATGAGTGACAGCAGCTTTGCAGAATGATGGCGTCACCAGTTGATCCTTCCGGGCCATGCGCGCCGTGTCCGGCTCGGCCGACAGCCAGCCTTCAGCGGATCACTCTCTGGACAGGGCGGGGATGCCGTCCCTGAGCCACAGCTGGAGGCGTGGAACAGCTGAACATCCACAGCTGGACCTTCAGAGGCGAAACGCGGGCCACCCCGCCTGAACGGCTCCTCCCCTCTCCCACTGCCCCATTGACCACTCAGCCCCGCTGCACCTGTGTTTTCCTGCGGTGCCGCCCGGCCCGTCCGGCCGATCTGCAGGCGGTGCCGTCCCGCCCCGCTGGCCGTCCCTGCAGCCGCTCTAACGGCCCCGTCTGTTGACGGTCGTGGCGTGCGTGCGCGGACGGCGCGCCCTGCAGGCAGCCGGCACCGCCCGGCGCCTCGGCACGCCGTGAAAGGCGCCGTCGGGCTGGTTTTCGGCCCGCCCGCCCGCCTGGCCGGCCGGCTGACCGGCGCGGCGCGGCGGACCGGTCTGAGCGGCCCAGCCGGTCAGCGAGCAGCCCCGACCACACCCGCACAGCTCGGAGCAGAGCCGGGTCAGCCGCGGCAAGCACATTCCAGCCGGCCATCCGTCTCCGGCGGCCATGAACGATGGAGCCCGGCGGCGGGCCCGGCCAGCCGGCCGGCCGCGCCGCAGCTGGGCCGATGACCTCGGTCGGCGAGCGGTGCGCCGCACTGAGCCGCCGCTCACGGGCCGCGCCAGGTCGGCTGACTCGGCTGTGTCCGTCCGACCCAACAGCCTGCAGCCATGGGAATCCGACAGTATTGTCAGCGGTCCGCAGAGCGTGGTCAGCAGCGGCCTCCTGAAAACGACCGCAAACCATCGCAGCACGGCTGAGAAACTCGTCACAGTTCAGGGATGCGTCCTGAGTTCAGGCATCTAAGCTCCCGCGTCTCCTAACAGCCGAATCCCAGGCCATAGAAAGCAAACGATAGCGGTCCGTTAGGGAAGACGGGAGGCTCGGCACATATCGCCAGTGACCCAGCTGATAGCGGATGGACGTTGTCGCCGTTACGGACATCTCCCATGCAAACAGCCCGCTGTGAACCAGTCAGCTAGCGGCTGGTCGGACGGCGGCAGGCGGCGAGCGGCGGGCCCACGCGCGGCCTCGTGTGCCGTGATCGGCCTGCTGACGGCCCGAGCAGCCGCTGACGTGGACCGCCCACTGACCGGACCGGCATACGGCGCCCAGCGGTTCTGACCGGACCGGCATACGGCGTCCACCGGTACTGACCGAACGACAGCGGTACCGATCAGACTGGCATACGGTCAGTGGCACTGACAGACGGCCAGTCAACTGATCGACAGACAAACCGACAGACGACCGCCGGCCGGAGTGTGACGAGTACCAGTCAGGATTTGACGGGCGGTCTCCCAGGAACACGTCAACAAACCGAGCCAGTCGTGTCACTGTCGCCCATTGGCGTATCACCGTCCTCGATGATATTCCAAGTGCTAACCCAAACGCACGATTCCTTCACATGCAGCGTAACACCAATCCGTTCTTTGAGTGTAGTTCATTTCGAATTTCCAGCTTTCCAGCCAACCATTACACCAAAGCTTGTTTACTGTTTTGTTTGCTGTGTGCGGTTTCGAATGACGTGTTTGTTGTTTGTGGTGTTGCTTGATAACCGTTTACCGCTAACAGCTATCCACATTCACAGTCCGATGACCAACGCCCACCGTTAACATCCAGTCGCTGACACACGGCCAGAGTCTACGGACCACCGCCCACCACCCAACCGTTCAGAGAGCGGCACACCGTGGCTTGTCGAGCCTACCAGCTGAGCACCAGCTGTGATCTGGTAACCACCCCTGCCGCCCGTCAAAGCCCTCCACTAGCGCTGACAGGCTGAGAAAAACGGTTCCGAAAACATGGAACTCTCGACAGCCTGCGAACGACTGCCCCGGCGACAGACGGGGACTGACGACAGTCGGCGACTAAGCGACAGTCGGCGACAGTTGGGTTGCCAGCTGAGCGTGACCCTCCGCGGCGCACCGCTCGCTGATTACGGGTCGGCGTGGGTACAGGACGCGGCAGCCGTATGTCACGCCGTTACAGACGAGCCCACGATGACAGGGGTGTCGTTACATGCCACTAGAGTTTGGACACGCGAGCGAGTGACGGCACTACCGGCCCGCTACATGCTGGAGAGCGGAGACGCGAGGGCAAGAGACGCCCCTAGGGAACACAGGAGGGCTCAGAGACGGGGTGGCGGCGGGGCCGAATGATTACGGGAAATGTTGGGAGCCGATAATGTGTTCCGAGTTATAACGGGCCTGCTGACGGCAAACCACCAAGGTCGAGCGGTTTGTATCAACAGACTCGTCCGTGCTGACAGCTGAGACTGCCTGATCGGGGAATGTAGGGCTCGTTGGGATGTTTGGTCGGGTGAGAGGCAGACGTTCCAGCGATCAGATGGTATAATGTTCAATGTTTGTTTGTTTTAAGCTATAATGCCATGCTGAATGTTTCCACTGAAAGCTTAGTAAGTCGCTAATAAAATGTAGAAAGATAAAGATGTTCTTATTTACATTTAGATCGTTTATCAATATAACATTTTTGCATCGATCGGGATGTGCGTAGTGTACCACCGGTTATTTACCGCCTTCGTTTGCAAAGTGCACAGCTGTCTGCGCTTCCAAATGTGTCTCCCCAAGGATTAGCTCTTGGACTAGAATTTACAGCTCTCCCAGGATGCCACACCAGACTTCGTGACCAATGGAGCAGATTAACTGCATGGTCACCGTGGGTTCCTCAACACAATGATCAAGGCGCGCGCACGACCTCAGCCGTTCTGTTGAAATTCGCCAAAGCACCCCGCGCTGATTGCGCGATTAACGCGGAAATCTCTGCATGCCTGGCGTATTTGAAGCGGTGATCGGTCAGACAATGCGATACCTACAGCTCTAAGACATGTCTTTGGCTTGTAAAGCTCGCTCAGAACTGCACTCGGCGGTGTGAGCGCGGAATTATTCACGAGTCCCGGCACCCCACAGGTGGTAGGTCCCGGTCAGAAGGACCGGTCCGGACCGACTCCGGTCCGAGCCGGTCCGAGCGCGCTACATGGTGTGTTTTGTCCGCCTCGAGACCGGCCTACTTGTCAGTCGGTCGTCATATCGTGATCGGACACCCTCCACACATGGTGGCGCCCGCCTTATATGAACATTACTCATTTCATACGGACGGTAATCTACTTAAGTTGATGTAGCGAATCCAGTGCCGCCGCTGTATTACTTTCAGAACACATGTCGAAATGTGCAGAGAATCGAGCGGTGTGGTAAACTTTCGGGATCACCATTGTGAGCTGCTATCTTTGTACGAGTTTCATTGTTTTGGTGGACGATAAAGACCTGAACGAAACGACACACCCGCTATGAATGGCGGCACATTTTTCCTGGTGATTGAAGATCTAGGAGGCATGCCAGACAAGACACGTTATATGCCATTGTCAAAGTTGACGAATGATGATGGACAGCAGCATAGAAACATTCGAAAATGGCCTAGAAACAGCGGCACACACAGACTGTGACTGGCCCTATTTGCCGGCCTCAGCAGTCCCTGCGTGAGGCAGGCTGGGAGCAACGACAACAACATATACAGTTCTTCACAGGAGGCACAGGGAACAGAGGGCCAGTGCAACTGCATTTCTCCCGAGACAGGTATTTTCTGTCTCGGTACTTTGACTGCGCCAAGTATAGCGCCGCAGGGGACCGGTCTAGCGCAAGACGAGCCAGTTTGGTCCCGGCAACTAATCAACGGCCACAATACACTCCTGTTTTCGTCTCACAATGAGGTGACCGAAAACAGCCGAAAGCTGTGAATTAAACAGGAAATAAGGAGGGCGAGAGGTGTTCGAGTGAGCTGAAGCGGTCAGTGAAAGGCACAGTGAGAGGGGAGGTGAGAGAGACGGTGAGAGGGACAGCAAGAGTGGTGAGAGGGGCGGCGGGACAAACTGAGAGGAGCAGTGAGATTGAGTGAGCGAGGCAGTGCGTGAGCCCATGGCAGGGTTAGGGACGGCGAGAGAAGCGAGGAGGTAATAAGGGGGGCGGTGACATAACCACACCAAGGCGTGATTGGTGCGCTCTTCAACGGTTCCTACTTAGTGTTCACCTTCTAATAACAAAAATTTGAGTTCATTCTGGCTCTTGAATGGTAACCGCGGCCGAAGAAGCTCGTCTTATGCTAAGGCCGTCCCATACATAAACAAAGGAAGAGTATTTGAAGGCGCAACATTTGGCGCCGTCAGCCTGATTTACCGGCACATTAAATAACTGCAGAGATATGGGCTATTTTGGCATGAAGTTTTCTTCGAGCTTAGAAGCAAATTTTTATGCTCACTACTAAGCAACGAAATAATGTTGGAGCTGCCAACTGGCGTGTTACCTGCACAAAGTGCACATAGCATATATATATATATATATCCGAAATTTACATTATTGGTGTCCATTAGGAATTGGATATTGCAGGAGTCGCAATTTGATAGGCGGGACTAGGGATACGTCTCGGTTTTCTCGTCTCCGTCCCTGCCTGGGCGACGAGCACTGGGCAGAGACTACTGGACCTAAATAGCCGAGAGTTTACCGCATGCATCTTGGCACATTCATAAATCCACTTCGTTGATTTAAATTGTGCAACGTGCATCTCTTCGTCAGCATCATATACATAGCTATAGGCAGCCGGTACCATAAAAAGCGACTTATAGAGTAGATGGAGGCAGCGAAGGTACGGTATTGTCTAATCATACTTACCTACTAACAGAGAACATGCAAGATATACCATAGCTAGTTCTCATTTTAAAAGCAGGACGCCAGAGACCAGTCTTATTGTTTCCTTTCCAGTTTGAAGTCGGAGCAAATGCGCAGTAACAAACCGCCTGGGGGCTGGGTATGTGCACAATTACATGCAGTGACAAGAAACCAGTCCCGACACTCCACAGCCATCGAAATGCTGCATTGAAGCTGACAGCAATAACAAGTCAACTGCCGACCGACGAGCAAAACCAGTCTCCGGTTAAATAATTCCGTCTCACATCTTAATTCTCCATCACATGCTATAGGGAGCGAACTGAACACATTTTCAGGCCACTCCGTTCTCTCCGTTCCGTAAACTGCAGTTCAAGTCTCATTAAAGTGTTCCGAACGCCGTAATGGACCCGTACTAACTATTCCACTTCAGGCTGTTCGGTGCCCTTTACCAGTCTCAATTCTGTCCAGTCTAACTATGCCACGGCAGATGTGCCTGTCCCAGTACCACACCAGCCAGTCTGACTGTCCCAGTACTGTCCCACTACGGTCCCGGCACTGTCCCGGCACGCTGACGGCTCCGCGGCACCCACCGTCGGCGTGCCAGGGTGCCATCGGAGCCGGTCTGCCACGCTGCGCCGGCGCTCCCGACCGGTCGGCGGCGGGCGGCTGCCGCAGCCCGTTAGGAGCTGGGTCAGCCTGTCCCGTACCGCGACGGTACAGCCCGTTCAGCCGCGCGCCGGCGGGCACACGCGACTCGTCGGCACATACCACTCCGACGGACCAGACCGGCAAAGGGAGACGGCTGACGGACTAGATACGAAACAACCGACGAACCGAACTAACTGAACAAATGCGGTAGGTGAACCGACGAACTAAACGGGAGGCGGCCGACGAACCGACTAACTAAACAGGAGGCGGCCGGTGAACCTAATCGAAAGACGGTGTACGAATTACGAACCATCTAACCATACATGAGGCAGCCGACGTACCGACTATACGAAAGGCGGTCGGCAAACCAACTACCGAAACAAGAGGCGGTAGACGAACCGATCTAGCGCCGCGCTTACAGCTGCTTATTGACAAGTGAAATGGTGGGCAACTGCATAGTATGTCGAGAAGCGGTAAATGATAGGAGGAGAACTGTGTCCCTGATAGATGGTGTGAATAAATGCCCTTCGGTTATTGCAGCAAACGCTGGCGTTTTTACTTTGAGTAAACAACTAAAACAAGACGGCTCACGGTTCTTCCTGAAAACGTTTACAAAGAACGTGTATAAGCGGTTGGCAAAACGCTCCATGCCAGAATAGTTTGCGTCATCGCAGTAGTTTGGCACGGCATCCATAAATGTCGCAGCAGGCGGTCGGCTCCAAACATTTGACGCTGTATCGCGTTGAGGCGGCCCGCTACACGCTGTCGCCCCCTGTCGTGACGTTTGAGGTGATAATGCGACAGGCAGCGGACTACATAATTTGGCCAGTCAACACGTGCCTCCCGTCTGCGGCGGCACGATCACCAGTCGGGGTAACGGTGGCAGTGAGACCCTCCCGGCGGCGGCTGGGTCCACACATCGGACCGCGAGCCTCGGCGGAGAGCGGGTCAGGAATCAGAGCTCCGGGCCGCACCTCTCCCTTCACAGCCGCCGCGTCCGGGCCCAGCTGAATATTGATCAAACTCCCCTCCGACACCGGCCAATTAGTATGAAAATGAAAACGCGACAAGCACGGCAACAGCAGCCCTCTTCACACTTCAGAATATTAACGTGCATAGGAATTGTACCGACGACTCCTCGCCAGTACAAAGCACCCGCTAAATGAGTTTTCTCGCAGGTGCACACTACATTATGGTGCATTAACACGCCTGACACACGCCCATGTGCGTGCCAAACCCAAACTAGGCGGCCTGTATTCACGGGGCGACACCGGCCGCCGGCGGCCGACCCCGGCCCGTCTGCCCCGTCATTGAGCGCATTAAGTGGACTGGCCTTGTCTGTGTGCCGGGGGCCGGTCGGCGCACGGGCGCCGGGCGGGGGCCATTCTGAACACGTACCCCAATAGGCGGTGGCCTTCATGTCTGTGCCGACGGCGGCGAGTGCTGCCCGCGCAGCTGCCGTCACTTGTCACCGGGTCACTGCTGTGTGGTCACTGATCCACTGTCACCGGTTGACACCTCGGGAACGTCACGTCACTGACACGTCTCTCGAGCACGCCGCGGGCACGTCCGAGCACGCCCGGGCCGGCGGCACGCCCGCTGACCGGTCCGAGCACCGACACCGACTGGCCACGGCCGGACGGAGCGGAGGCTCGCCCGCCCCCGGCCGTGGCGCGAACGACGGCGCTGACATCTAGTGGCCAAATAAGAAGCTATAGTGTCGAGAGACGGCGTGAGGGGAGACTGCGTTGTGGCATAGGACGGTATCACCAGTCACCACCCTCGCTACCCCTCCACCCAAGCACACTCCAAGAACCCATCCATCCGCTCTTCTCACACCCAGGGTAGTCTACACTCATCCAACAACCTCACTTTCTAGTTGCAGTTGACGGTCACCCAACAAGAAGCGGTGAGGAATGAGGATTGAGGATCCCTGAGAGCTCAGTCCAATGTCTCCTTCTGATCCCATCATCTCCTGGCTCCGCAATCATGGTCTAGTGCTAGACCGAATGGGCGTGCTTTCCGCAAAACAAACCATCAAACAAATAATTTGACAGTCTGAATGGCCTGTCCCATCAGAGCGCAGCCTCAACGTAATGAACTTAGCTGCAGTGGCGAACCACTCGGTGGTCGATCAAGCCCTGCGTCTCCCCTTATCCTCTCAGCCCATGGCTCTGAAATGGTATCCATCAAGTATCCTTCACAGTAGCAAAATAAATAAATAGTTATACTAAATGATAACCCCTATGATTGTGCATTCGACAGCATCGTTGAACTCACCTTCAAAATAAGCACCCAATACCCATTTACCTTTATAGAGCATAACATAATCTACGAGATCTTAGTCATCATGACTTTAATTTTACATGAAATTAACCATACCTATTCTTTTTTTAAACCTAGGACCTCAGCACACTCAGCACACTCAGACCTCCTGGATCACGCCTCTCTTTGCCTGGCTGACGGTTACCTCGCCACAAGGGTCACCCCACGCCTCGGTCACCTCCCCAGACAACTGTTAGGAGTAGTCCCGTCCTCCGTGGGGATATTTACCTCCGGGGTGACCTTTTGAGTGACTGGGGGACTTGCTACGCCTCCTACCGGTAGAGACCCCGGACCCAACGGACGGGCTCAGCTCCTACGACACACCAGTCGCTGGCTCTGCTGCAGATGAGCTGTACTCACCATATCTTGGGCCTGGCTGGTTGTGTTTCTGCTCTTCAGGTGTCGCTGCTTGCGTCTCGGCGTCAGCGGTGGCGCCGCTGTCACTCTCCACAGAGTCGTCGTCACTGAGGACAGGAGAGTGCCGGTGTCCGGCATTAGCGAACATGAATAGTATACAGTGACTGGTCACTAGCTCAAGCGTCTTTTCCATCGGATGAAGCAAGAACCCACAAATAAAGCACGAATTTAGGAGCTACCTGAACATCGCATTATCATAAAGGGCCACATTGGCGGTACACAATATTTGCAACAAGACATAATTAACAGCCGCCATTAATTTTGACTGAAATGATCGAATGAAAATATAACTAGGCTTGTGAACTTCAATGATGGCTTTGTGAGTCTATACAAGTACAAGTATCACAAGCCATCATGTGAGTCTTATCAGTACAAGTACACCCACTAACTCATGCTCCTACCTACATACCCGTATGTGACTTACCTGTCGGCCGGGACCAGCACCATACTGCGTTTCCTGGGCATCGGCGTCGGCACATAGTTGGCCAGAACTCCCTCCGAAGGGCCCTCGTCCAACAAAGCCGCTTCGGTCGCCGTCTTCACATCGGTGTCCGCCGTCTCGGGCGGGTGTGTAGCGCCGGACTGGTCAGATTGTAGAGAGGATTCTGTCTCTTCTAAAGCGTCGGAGGTAGAATCAGGTGAGTCTATCGCCACTTCCGCAGCAGCGTCCGCTTGTTCAGCAGTGTCTGTCTCATCGGCGCAGATTTCGTTAGCTTGATCTGCTTCGTTTGAATTGAATTCGGGATCTTCATCAGAAACATCACACGAGAATGTGGATAACCTTTCAACACGTGCTCCTGATTCTTCCTCAGAGCCCTCTCTGTCTGGCTCAGTCAGGGACGGCTCCTTCGATCGAGCAGCTCTCTCCTCTGGCGGTGACTCCTGCTCCTCATCAGACTGCGTTATTTCATCAGTCTCCAGGGTCCGGTCTTCCAGAGGACAGTCGTCAGTCTGGGCTTCAGCCTCCTCTCCGGACCCATCGCTGAGCCGGCGGTGGCTAGCCGGAGGGCTCGCTCCACCACTCCCGCCTGAGTCATGGAAACCCTCGTCCTCCTCAGCTGGCGAGGACGGCTGCCGGCTGATCGTCCTCGTCTCGTTCCTCTCCTCCTCCTCGATCTCAGAGTCCTCTGCGAGCTCCGGTCTGTCCTGGAACACCTCGGGAGGCGGCAGGGGGCTCACACTGCCCTCCTCGTCCGCTCCTCCGGCCGCGAACACACTGTCCATGCTCAGCTCACGTTCCAGCCGCTCGAACTGGCGCAGCGCCGAGGCCAGGTCGAGCTGCGGCGCCGGCGGCGGCGGCAGCCGGCCGGCGCCGCGCTCCACCACCGTGGAGGTGCTGCTGCGGCTGCTGCACGAGCTGCCGTCCGACTCCAGCGCCGTCTGCAGCCACGCCTCCTGCGCCGACAGCGCGTCGGTGGTGACGAGCGGCGCGGCCGGCGCGCCGGCGGCCCGTCGCTCCCTCCTCCCTGTCGGGGATTTATCCCGAGCGTCGACCTCCCGCGCCGGAGACACGCGCAGGGTGTCCCCTCCGAGCGAGATGCCGCTGTCCTGGCTTACCAGCGTCTCTCGCCTGCCCAGGTGTCTGACGCGCAGTTCCACGGCTAGAGGGGTGTCCTGCAGCAGCTGCACGCACTGCAGCCGGGTGAGAGCCGTCACCGGCCGGCCGGCAATCGCCGTGATCCGGTCCCCGGGCTGCAGACGACCCCAGCTGCACGAGGCGCGTGCCGACGGACTGCCCTCGGCACACGACTGAACCGACACACCCTGCACGGGCTCCTCAGCACTCTCACCGCCGCGGAACTTGAGGCCGAGCCCCAGCCGCTCGCCGGGCAGCCGGTACAACGTCACCAGCTCAGTAGTGTGAGACGACACCGCCACAGACGATAGCGTCTCATCGCCGGCCAGTTTGGTGTGTTTCACATCCATCTCTACTGCCTCATCTGAGACCGAACCCACCGCCAAGTCTGTGAAGCTGTCAGTGGTTACCGCCACTCTCTCCGTACCGGGCGCTGAAGGAGAGCCCTCCTCACCACCATCCCTCACGTCCAGCACGGTGACAAAGGTGACGACCTCTTCGCTGCTCTCGTTGGGCACCTGGACGCTCAGTTTGCGGCCCTCCAGCACGCTGTGGTACTGCGGGTTCTGGTAGAACGCCTGCGGCGCCGGCGCCAGCTGACTTTGACTTATATTCACCACTGTGACGAATGGGTCGGGCTGTGAGCGGCCGGGCGCCGCCGCCGAATCCATGGCGGAAGGCGGCGGAAGGGTTCGCACGCCTGCCGGCGACCACCAGTCGTCGGACAAGGGGCTGCCGCAGACGCTCACACCGGAAGCCACCACTTCCGGCGGTGGTGTGACGTCACCAGAGGGACCCACGTGACCGGGTGTCTGCTCAGACGGTCACGTGACCGGATGACGGCCGGTGTCGGACTCAGAGCAGTCCTGTGAACGGATTAATAAGCACTGTCAATTCAGTTGGCTATGGTTTGTTTTCCTATTGCTGCACATCGACTAATGTAATCATCGACAAAATTCAATGTTCCTGTCTGCGGCGATGCATAACACTGCCGGGATGTCTCTGAAGTACAATAGCTTAACTGATAATAGAAAAACCGGGGAAAATCGAAAGCAAATTGCGACACGTATAGGCAATCTTTTCCAACCAAACACGCCTCAGCGTATCTGTTGATGTGCCAAACCGATGTCAAACCTTGACCGTATCAGCCCTGGCCCAGAGACGGTATATCGAACTACAATGGACGATTTCCATAGCTATCAAGCGTCGCTAACCTTCTTCTCGATCACGTGTGCTCGCTCAGTGAACACGTGTCGACTGTCGGTACTGGGGGACGTGATGGGTCGTCATTGGTCACCGTCAGTGACGCAGCGGGGCCGGGCGTCACTGACGGTGAGGGTGTCATGGAACTTCACTGATGGCGGAGAGGCAGAATGAGTGGTTTATGGAAGAAAAACGAGGAAGAGAAGGCGAGAGAGAGAGCCGCTCTATGCGCCACAGAATATGGGCGGAGTAAGAGTAAGGAGGAGAGAGAGGAGGAAAGAAAAGATAAAGACGAGGAGAATGGAGTTTCGTTCTGATCTCTGGTGGTGCAATTGATTCGCTGGACAGTTGTCAGCAAAGCCTGAAGATGAGAGTACCTATGGCCCGAACACATCAGCTATTGTTATACGAGTATCACGATGCGTGCCGTAATTGAGACGATATAGGTAAGGTTAAAACGAACAGACAGGTGGGCAGGAAATCAAATTCCGCGAGCTGTGACCAATGGCATTGTCCGAGCCCGAGGTCGGGGGTCCAGGAAGGGCCGGCCGGCCGGTCTGTCGGACCACCCCTGCCGACAGCCACCCCCTCCCCCCGTGCCCCGAGGCGTCATCGGGACGTGCTTCAGAGGGCCCGCCGCCGGAACCACCGGGCCACCTTCGGGGGCGACCGACTAACCTGATTTCCCTTATTTGGCGGCGGCCGGACGCGGAACCTTGAGAGCTCGGCGGCGGCAAGACAGGCAGAGGCCGCATACTAATGGCAATGGCTTCGTGCTGACGGCTCCGACAGCTCAGGGCGACGAGGGGAGGGGCGAGAGGAGGGGGCGAGAAGACCCCCGAACGCCGCCGGCCGCCGCTTCCAATTACCTACAGGTGGCGGGGCGTGTCTTATTGTGTGAGAATGACAGCAGTCACAGGTCTTCTCACATCTCCCGAATCCCAGAAAGCGGTTACAGCTGTGCGTATAAAGGCTAGATAAAAATACCAAGGCTAACTTTATCAGTCTGGCAAGGTCGAACTTCGGAGACAGCGTGCATGTTTATGATTCAGGAGATATCAGAAATTTTCGGGTGCATAACTACACAATAGATTTTATGTTGCCAGCCCGTCGATTAAACGTATATCGCTTCACCAAGAAGTAGCGAGGCGTCATCTGATGTGCCGCTGAGCTCTAACATCTAACAGCGTCAGCGTCCTGATGACAGAACCGGGGTGTCTACATGCACCATTTTCCAGAAATATACGAAAATGGAGCACCTTCTTCGACCACGCGGTGTTAGCGAATTACACCGTGACGTCATTACGTTAAACCATCACGTCATAACGTTACACCGTCAAGTCATTGGCCCACATATTTGACTCCCATTGAACCAACAACATCAGCACGGTCAGCACAATCCTCCTCCTCCCCCTGCGGTGAATCGCCAGATTGACCTATTGACGCCCTGGGGAATATCGGCAGCGCTGAACCAACAAAATGCATCGGACGGGCGACCAAGGTGACACAGTTTGTCCGCCAGACATCCGACAAGGAATGACTGGATCGTTTTACTGAGTGTGTCAGCACGGGCGACGGGCATGATGCGACGATGTCTTCAGCATCTCGAATGGAGCTAACACGACTCGTTCAATCCGTGATTTTCTAAAACGACGCGGATAGAGTCAGGTCAGCATGTCACGACTTAGCACGACTCTGAATATCATCGGAGCTGACCGACGCTTTAACGATGCATGATTTTATTCCTATGTATGCCATTATTCTTTGAGGTATATCTCATAGCTTCAGAAACACGACTCTCCCAACATTTTTTTTTTTTATTGCTAATAACGACTCAAGGCCAATAGGTGTTATTAGTTATATCAATTAACCAATACTGAGGAATGTTGTCATTGAGTCAACACATTTTGTAAAGGAGCCTAACCCTAGGATCGGACTGGCCAGCTGCACGCGCAACATGCATACCTACCTACCGGACGGCGGCGGCGGCAACGGTCATAGCAACGACGTGACCTGGGTAGGGTATGCATAAAGTATGGGTCTGGGTCTGGGTAGGGTATGGGTCGCCGCCTGGGCGCGGTCACATGTGGGCCTGATGACGGTTGACGCGCACTAACGAGCTACGCAAAGCTAAGTGGACTTACCGGAGCAACCCAACGAGTCTCCTGTCCTGTTTTCAGTCAAAACATGGGCGTCAATCTTGTAAATAAAAATTGATGGGGAAATGATTCACCTACTTACCTTATTGACTTTCCACTCTCAACCAGGCAGATCAAACGATGGAATGGTGCGGTAAAATCGCTCCTTCCTTTTCCCGAGAAACACCAGCTGTGCCTACAGCGCCCTCCCCCTGGCCCCTTCCTGCCCCACCAAAAAAAAAAAAAAAAACGCAAATCGACTATGACTTATACGTAAGGCAGAACGTCAAACGCAGTCAAGTACCCATTGGCATTCACATATCCTCGGAGGCAGTCATGGTTTCTATATGAATAATGGATTATTATTTTGACCTCTAGGCTAAAACACACCCTGATTTTTAGTGAAATCCTACGAATTTAAATGCATTTTATGCAGCTGCGCACCGCCCGTTTGGCTTCAAATCACGACGCCATTCATATTCAAACGTGAAGCCCGGTCATTGGAAGACGCTGATGTGAAACTGAGCTCCCAGACTCAAGCCCAGCCGCGCTGGTTACCAAACATTAACCGGTAGTGACCGGCACGGCCCTTCCACCGGCTCACGGCTCTATGCTAATGCCCGCTGACATGTGAGCACGTTGATAATGGTCATTACATACCGCACGTGGCCCACAGCGGACTCGGTCAGGAAATGGCTAAAGAGGAGGCCGACAGGCCAGTTCCGTTCGACTGAATAATCACCCCGACACCGCAGCGAACGCGCACGGATCCATGCCGCACCGCCCGCTTAGTGATTGTTAAGGCGACCCGGTGACCCGCGAGAGCCGGTTCATGTCGGCCGAGCAGAAATGAATAGTTCATGAGACATCTGATAGACGTACAATGGAATTCTCCGCCTGTCTGAACAGTCTAATAACGCTCATTACATATGCGATCAGCGAAGATGAACAGCACTGTCGATGACTTTTTCCCTCGCTGGGTCTGTTTTCGTGTAACACTGCTTTCCGTTCCTTTTTGTTCGGACACACGGTTTCACGACTGGACCGGGGTGTGACCGTTCCGCTCCACATGCACCGTCTTTGAACGATGTCACACCATTACAAAATTACATATGGTCCCGTTTTGTCACCAAAATATATGTCGCTTTATTTAGCTACCGGGTGTAGGTAGTAGGAACACAAGAACTGAAGCGTGTTCACGGTCTGACGCTTCATTTGCAGTGCAACAGACCCGTTGGCTGACCCCATCTAGCCAAGACAAAACAATAAGCAGTGCTACAGCGCAACTGAAATAAACTCATGATTACAGCCTGGAGAGTTGACGACTATCGGAGGAAACCAAGCCTGGAATAGCCCGCCATCAAGATGCCGTGCGTCGCTTTTCACTCAATGAACGGAGGTGGCGCGTTTTAAAGCTGTGCGGCTGTCGACCATGAAACACCTCCCACTTCCGGCGCCCGGCTCTCAGGCTGGTGCCGGCGTGGGAGCCACCGGAAGGGGACTGACACTGCATACAAGCAGACAGTCGGAAGGATGGACGGGAGGGGAATGACACTGCATACAGACGGAGAGACGGACGGACGGACGGGAGGGAGCACACACTGCAGACAGACGAACGGGAGGAGAATGACACTGCAGAGAGACGGACGGGCGGACGGGAGGGGACTGATAGACTCTAATACAAGCAGATATACGGGCGGCGGGGACGGGACTGAGGAGACTGACACCGTATAAAGACGGACGGGAGGGGAATGACACTGCAGCCAGACAGACGGACGGACGGCGGGACGGGAGCTAGGAGGCAGGGGAGCGGAGCGTCTGCCACTTCTGGCGGACCGTAGACGGGAGTCCGATGGGGTGGTCCATCTTGCAGAAGGGGGCGGGGCGGGGGTGCAGTGGACGCAGGTGATCACTGCTCACGGACGCTCAATACAGACAGACGAAGAGACGAAGAGGGGACGGGACTGACTGATCGAAATGGGTGGACAGCGGACAGACGGTGGAGGGACGATACTGGCTTACGACGGTAGGAGTGCCGGAGCATACGTCGCGCGCTCACCTATTCAGTCGGATCAACCCGGGACTGATACGAAAGACGGGAAAGAAGTGAAGACTCGCCGGAACGCATGAGGCTGGTCGATCCCAATCACTTTTTAACTTACCAAATCCTCGAGTACAGGCGTCCCTCAATTGCTGTGTCTTCACACTCATGCAAATTTCTTGCGATAGAAAGACCTTCAACCGGTATTCTGAAACAGAAAACAAATATGAAGCAGACCAATGTGATACAGTCCTATATCTACCGTACAACCGCTGGTACAGGCCAAAAAAACAGCGATTGAAGAAGGATAGGAGCAATAAATAGGCAAGGATTTGTATAGAAATACACTGGCTTTGTCATTTGAGTTGACATTTCGGCAATGAGCATCCTGGCACGGCGTATTGAACTAGATCCTCGTGAGAGGCCCAGCAATGCATTAGAAGACCTCTGGCGTGGCTTATGTCCGGTGATGTAGCGATCCTGGCGTGTATAGGGTTTATCATCGCCACACAATACGGCTATAAGGATAAGGATAGCTATAAGGACCAACCTGGAAGTACCAATCAGTGCGGAGTCCACTGTCTGTCCGTCTGCAGTCTGGATGAATCAGTATGGACGGCAGTATTGACCACCTCGGCGTGGGAGAGATGTCCTGAGGTATGACCTACTCCGGCCCTACAAGCCGCCCCAAAAGTATCACCCATCCAGACCTTGAAGCCACCCGACGGTAGACATAGCCCGGCGCTTTGACCCATCCCGGGCGCTGTGAAGCATTTCGGGCTCTTTAACCCGTTCCGAGCGCTTTAAACCCATCCCGGCGCTTTGAACCATATCCCGGCGCTTTGAACCGTCTCGGGCGTGGGAGAGCCGCGGCCGCGGTGGGCGGCGCTCCGTGGTGCGATCCACCACTGATGGAGATGAGTGGTGGGATGCTAAGCGACTCTGAGCGGGAACCTTCTCAGCCCGGACACACGGACGATAGTGAGGGGGTTCGGCCACCGAACGGGTAATGGGTTAGGTGTGGCGCTAATGCAGCGGGGGCCGAGGACTTCGTGGTGGGTCGAGCTTCCACTCCGCCGCCGAGATGAGTGTTGTATGGCGCGAGAGAGGCCAATATATCAACATTATCTTTAAAAAAATCATGAAAGTAAAATGCATGAACTGGTGCATGAACTTAAAACGCTTCTTTGATGCCAGTAAATTTGTCAAAAAAAAAAAACACATGACAGGGCATTTGTCGAAAGCCCTGGCGACTCAACTGGATCCGTTTGAGCTTTGAAACCTGATAACTTGTCCAAAAATGAGCCACGCCAGCAAATATCGATTGTCACATGCCCGTGCCGACCACCGCTGTATCAACTGCCCTCCCTCATGGCCATTCCTCCGCCTTTCGCCTTTATCTCTGATCTCCCAACCACATCTGACATCATCATCGCTCTCTGTCTTCATGCATCACCCGTACGAGCCAGTGAAGCGCGACCGTTCCACCTCCCACCTCCCCGTGGGGAGGAAGGGCCAGAGACTACCGAGCTCGTCCACCCGGCGGGAGAGCCTGCGGTCGTACAGAGCGTCAGGATCCACCGGAGGCCTTCACAGGTGACCGGGCAGGCACGTATACCGCCAAGTTGGGCTCGGTGAGAGTGCCTCAACGTTGTGATGTAACCGACAGATGATTTGAACGCCGCGACAGAGCTTCACTGTGTGACGCAGTGTGAAATGTTGATTGGGGCTGTGATAGTGGGATGATGAGCTAATGTGATGGCAGGTGATTATGTGGCTAAATGCATAGGTATCGCACGGTTACATCTCGCTGGAGAATTGCCAATTAACCATCAATCGCCAATCTACCTGATGAGCGGTCATCTGATCCTCTTCATTGAAAGAAAAAGAGATTTATTTGGCTACTGCTTTTTTTAATCTCATTAGCGGCTGTCAAAGGCTATTTATAGGCTTGTGTACTAGGTAAAAATGACATGGATATATTAGCTGAGATGATCCAAAGCTGTAGGCAACTGCGTAACACAGCTCAGTCACGTTTAAAATGATGACGTTAATCGATGTCCTTTGTTGCAGCTGACAATCGACGAGGCTCGGTCACCTTAACCGACCTATGCCCTAAGAATGTTAATGTCTGAATTACAGTTCCAGTAGGTGCCAAGCGCACAGGGCATTCATTCATCAGTTTAGTCTTGTTGGCTCTGTCTCCCCATGGGCATCGAATGGTGCTAAAGAGCTTCCTGTCTTTCTTTCCGATGCCTTGAACGCTGGTGCGATGATAACGCGTGCTAAGCACTGTAAATCGCTGAACTTTCATCACAGCATACATACTCCGCAAGACAGACCCGTTCTCAGCACACCGGCAACTTTCGAAGGCGCAGATTTAGAAAACCCACCACCCTGCCAATAATTCTCATCATTGTCCCAAGAAGTTCGACACCTCCATTTCACCAGCACCTACAGAGACACACCCTGTGGTTACTCAACTATCCAGCCATGACGCCGTTGCCACAGGCCTCTGCCGACGGGGCGCTCGTCTCTCAGTGAACAGAGACAGCCGCTCTGAAAACTGTTCCACCGAAGACACCGGTTACCTCAGACTTACGCCACCGATGTGTCGGTGGGCCATCCGGTGGTAATTGGGACGCTGTCCGCGCCCACACACACGCCATACGCGCTCCGAGGTGGTCCGCCACTAAAATACACCGCAATATTTCCACTGCACCTACCGCAGTGTCTCTACTGCCACAGTCACCGCCAGCTTGACCAGCGCCACCGTCACCGCCGCCGCCAGCTCGCCACTGTTTCTAACCGCCTAAAAAGCAGCTTTCCCCATTGTTGAGCATCGCCTGCCGTCCGATCGGAAAAAGGCGCCCGGTCCCGAGAGGTGTGGACGTCTAACGTCTCTAAAGATTCAGCCACCGCACGACTTCGACCAGACCACTTGACAACACAACAGCCACGGCAGAGTCGGCGCACGGTCAAAGTGAGGCGTGCATGGACAAAATGAAAAGTGCACAGATAATGCTTGTCGACGTGCACATGACAAGGGAAAGGTATCGGCGAAAGGGCAGATGGATGCATTGAAAGTGGGACGAGCTGTCCTACGCCGCGTCTGTACCCTGTTCTCAGGGTTCAACTCGGCGGCAGTGTGGGTCTCTGCCCCACGCTGCGACAGTTCTCAGCGTTTCAGCCCAGCTCCGGCGGCGTCTCCCTGTCCTACGCCAACACTGCCATTCCCTGTTCTCAGCGTTTAGTCGGCGCCGCCGCGGCTCTCTGCCCTGAGGCAGTGTCCGTCCGTCTTTGTGGCGGTGCCCGTGCCGAAAATCGGCTCATTTTCCGCCCACTGGTCAGGCGGACAATGACCTTGGACGGCGGTCAGCGCGACTCCCACGGCTCCCTCCCGGTCCAAATGGGCCCGTCGGAGGCTGATGGAAGACTTGCCGACGGCAAAAATATTGGTGATGTATCATGGGAACCGGAAAATAGGTGCACTTTAACTATCCTCCGTCATCCCAAAGGGATATGGTTTACGAAGGACGCACATGGGCGTCGATGCCAAAACACCTACGCATAAAAACTGCACACACGGTTCTGCAAGATCATGTCAAGAAACACGTTTTAAAACCGAACTAATGGCTTGCCACCTTGTTTCAGGCTTTGTCTTTGACAATTGTCTATCTATTCTTATTTCTTTTCTTCGCTACTGCTGTCCTCCTCTAAGAATCTCTGCCTTCGTACCGTTCTAGTCCCTCTATCCTAGTCTGGGCCGTCCCGGTGCGCCGTCACGCCCCTGAGCACAGAATGGTCGGAGCTGTTCCTTATTGTGGCACCGCCACGCCGCACCGAATAATTACGCTACGCGTCCCGTGACGGCAGACTGTGACGTCACGGTCACGCAGAAGTCAGGTGGGAATGGGCCGCCAGCTTCGCTCTCGCTGCCAGGCGCTGTGCACCATGGGACCAATATTTCTTTGCTGGAACCGGCGGCTGGTAACTGAGCTTTGAGTTCCCAAGTGACAGCGAATTAGTCGTCCGGCGTAACCATCTCGATCAATGTCACACATAAATGCCGGGATTATTGTCGCAAGTAATTACAATGAAATTCGTTCACGCTGCCACTCGTGCACTTTTGGCACATATGATCATAATCAACCCACTTAAGAATCTAACAACCCAAGGGTGTCAACAGCAGCCCAACGCAACAGCCCATTCAGTGGTGTACAATTTTGATGCTAAAAGCAGCAGCTTAGCTAATGGATGTCTGCCCGTCAGTAGCCTCACAGAGCTGATGCTGGACCAGTCATCTCTCTGATCGGTCACCCTTGGAGGACGACCTCAGGCAGGCGCCTCCATCTTCCAATAAGGCCGGCTCCGGTCACCCTTTGAGGACGACCTCAGGCAGGCACCTCCATCTTCCAATAAAGCCGGCTCCGGTCACCCTTGGAGGACAACCTCAGGCAGGCGCCTCCATCTTCCAATAAGGCCGGCTCCGGTCACCCTTTGAGGACGACCTCAGGCAGGCGCCTCCATCTTCCAATAAAGCCGGCTCAAAGTGGAGCCGGAATAAAGCGAAACTCGACTCAGCTGCGCCGCCCTGTCGTGCTTTTATTTCCCGGCTGAAGTGTCATAAACTCCCAATGGGAATGGCATAGGGGCTTCGGGATTGCCACGGAAGGGATGTGATATGCCGATAGGGTGAAGTGAAACGAAAACTCGCATATTTCGATACCGCTCCAAACCCAATTCGCCCGCAGCCAGAATTAGTCCGTTCTTATCGAACACCGTTCGGGTTGACTTCACATGACCGAGCGCGGTTCGGCATCGCCTGAATTTACCAGATCCACACGTAAAGCCGCCGCCAGTCTCATCTCATCTCTTTCCCGCTGGCAGTTCGGGTGGGTTTAATTGGTCCGGGCAGGTCCGGCGACGTTCAGTTCAGCGCTCTGTTCGGTCGGGCGTGCTACTAATGAGTCTCATCAGGTGGAACCGCCGTGGTCGGCGACCTCTGGCCACTGAGTTCAATGAGGCGAGAATGGGAGTAGCGGGCTGTCGGTAGGTGTCCGAGGGATAGAGAGGCCCAATAGGAGGCGAGAGCCTGTTACAGCAGGACAGGACACTCAACACTGAAAATGCCTGACATTGCGGGCTGTCACTGATCGGGACATCGTATAAAGGCGTTAACTTGCAGAAGAAGTGTCGGACTAGTAT